CATGAGAGTCTCGTCAGCATGCAGAACACATGTTGATGTGTTGAACAGTGACACAAATGTGCAGTGACTCTGACTTGTCACATATGGGTTTGAAAAGTGTGACACATGTCAGATCTGCAACACGCTCTCACCAAATCCAGTTAAGGAAGCACAAAGAGAGCAGACATGAAACTAGAACTTTCTCTTCTATCATTCAATCAAATGGCTTTAAATGTAATTCATGTTTTTACTCATGTAAAGAGCTACAGATACAGATACTGTACAGCCTGGTAGCAGAGTGTAAATCTACAGTATGTTGTCTGGCTCTCTTCGTGTGTTTAGTTTATTATAGCAAAGAATCAAACAAGAGATCCGAGTGTTACCCCCGACAACCACATCAAAACATGACATTCTTCCACTTTTTACCATTTAAAAAAGTCACTGCTACAGTCAGAGGAAAAATGTCAAAGCAAGACCTTGAAAGGCTTTTTATTTCCAGGACATTAGATAACTGTAAGGGTCTCTTTTCAAAACAAGCTGCTCAGCAACTTACAAGCTTATTCAAAGAGCAGCTGCATGACTCCTGATGAGGACTAAGACATAAGGCCACATTACTCCACAGCTAAGAATCCTTCACTGCAGTGTTACCACCTGATTTCATCTCAAATGTTCTCCGCCTGTGTGTAAGACTCCCTGCGGCTTAGCGTCCAAATACATCTCTGTTTGTGACATATGACCCATCGGTGACCCTGAGGACATCTGGGGGCCAGGCTGCTGGCCGTCCACAGACTTAGAACAAAACAAGGTGAAGCAGCGTTTTGTTGTCATGCAGCTCAGAGACCTGGAATAATCTCCCAGATGATGTTAGCGTAGCCACAGCTCTGACCACCTTTTTTGACACTGCCGTCTTTACCCTCTGAGGAAGCAAACTTTTATTTCAATAATTCAACGAATTGTGAGGTTTAATGTAAATGTCTGTATGTTGTTTTATTACTCTGTAATATATCAGAAAATAACGCTGCGTTGCCTTTACTGTACATGTATATTTGGAGTTTCTGGGTAAAGTAGTCAGAAAGTTTTCAGCCGGAGCACCAATAGCATAGCGGTTATGTTGCGCACCCCACACACAGAGGCTAAAGTCTGCATCGTAGCAGCTGTGGGTTGGAATCCGACCTCTGCCCTTTACTGTAGGTAATCATCCCCCCCCTCCCCCTAACATTTCCTGTTTTTCTTCATAATAACCTATAATATTATTTTAGGGAGATAAATATTATAGTTTTTTTTTTTTTTGTAAAAACCTCTACTCATGCTTTTATTGAATGAGGTTTCAATTTGTATTTTAATTGATTTAATGTTATTTAGGTACCATTTATAAACATTCACTCTTGTATTGTGTCTATTAAATTAATTTATGTAACTGTTTTTGTTCACAATTTCACTTTGTCAAGCACTTGTCTGACAAATTATTTTCACAATGAATACTCTTTATCTGAAGCACAACAAAAAGCATCTAAACACCTTGAAGGTGTAATGTCGAGCCGTTCATTTTTATGAATGAATTAAGACTTAATTCTGTGTGTGCATTTGTGTGTTTGTGTAAATTCATATGAACCATTTCAACCCCCGTCCTTCATAAAAGAATCAGGACAGGATGTTGCCATGGAGACCCAGCTCTATAACAGTTGCCACAGCGATAAGGAGGAGAGCGGAGCTGAAGTGGTTGTTAGGGCGACCGAGAAGAGAGTGAGAAAGTGAGGCAGGGAGGCGCCTCGTAAACATGCAGGAAAACAAGCGGAGGGGTTAATATGCGGACCCCTGAGTGTGCTCCACCCTGTCAGTGTGAAGCAAATCAAGCATAAAAAAAAACAACTTTCCAAAAGTGAGTCAGCTCCAGAAAACAGGAAATTACTAATTTCCTTCCAACAAGAAGATGTCAGAGGGAAGTGTGTTTCTTTGGTAAACAGTAAAGTCCAAATCAAGTTCAAAAGGAGGATGCAGGGCCAACAAGAAGTTAACAAAGTCTCCTTTGACAATCTAGAGAGCAAGACTCCACTCAGTGGGACTCATTCACCGCCTTTTATCAGGAGAAGATTTCCTCTTAAAACCCACTCATGCAGTTTTTAAGGAAATGCATTCATCCCTCGTTCTTCACCCAGAACAGAAAGAGCACATATAGGCATGTGTGAGCACCCACATGCCAGTGCAAAATGATTGGCTATTATGTTTTCTTTTACTTTGCTCTATTATTTTATTAAATAAACACATGAATTAAATGTAACTTGAGGATCGATGGGTGCCCTGTGCACAGCCGTACTTCTCATCCGGAGTGCAGCTCGAGCAGGAACAGACAGCTTTAATCCAGCGCACACCAGGAGTGAATATGAAACACTGAAACGAACAAAGCCTTTTGCCAGGTAAATCTGAACAATGCTGGTGTGCGCTGATCGGGCTGTGTAGTCCCTCAACCACCGCCTGACGCCCAGCCACCACCTTCGGACTGTGTTGTCACCAAAACCGCCGCAGTCCTCATTCATGCACCGCCTGCTCCGACCTCCACCTCAGCGGCAAGGAAAGTGTGGGCAACAGGAACGCGAGGAATACAAAGTAGAAATCCTTCCTGCATATTATCCCATATTCTCTTTTGTATGCGTTGTTAAGCATATGATAAAATAAATAAAAGTAGCAATCACAATAATCTTGGGGACTGTTTCTGACCCGTGATTCACAATTTAAGCAAATCACAAATTTGCTTATAACACACAGCGCTATTTAGCCACGCTGGATCATGACATCCCTAAAATTATCATCCCCCATCTCAAGTCTCAGAGCTCCCCAAAACATGTCTGTGAAGTTTCTTGTTATGAATCCACTCTGCTCCTGTATTTGATCATGTCTATAAACCCCTCTATTTCAGCCCTGCTCAGAACAGAACAGGCTGTTTCTGTGTCTGTAGCTTTAAATGTAAATGAGCTGTGTCTGACCACGCCCCCTCTCTTGAAGGGGATGTGGCTCGGGCTTTCCTGCTCCATGTCCTATTGTTTACAGTGAGAAGGCAGACTCAGAGGGCAGAACAAACACCTAGCTGTGGGATGTCACCCACATGGGGGAGGGGTTACTGCCCTTTGTGATGTCATGCAGGGAAAGTCTCCAAATGGCCTGTTTGAGCAGACATTTTCTGAAAAGTGGAGCAGACGAAAGACGGAGAGGATGGACTTTTCTCATAATTGGGGGGTTTGTAGACGGACTAGGGACACATATTAGTGTCAGACAAACACGGTGAAGTGTATTTTAAATAATATATGCACTTTAAAAACACAGATGTGAACATTCCAGCAGCTTTTAGATAGGATCATAACTCTGACTTCGACTTTCTGTTTTCTTAAGACTGTTAATGAGGTGAATGAGGCCCAGTGTGTTTTAACTGGGCTAACACAGAGTGAGTCCTCACGTTGCAAAAAGCCAAACTAAAGAGCTGGCAGCCGGCCCGGTGAAGGACACGTTGCCTACATGCATACAGGTCAGCGGTCCCTCGCCACCGATGTTGACCTGGAATCCCTTCCTCCTCTCGGTTCAGTTACGCCGTGGCAACAAATCATTTCTTTAAAAGCCTAAAAAAAGGCGTCCCTCCGTGGGCCACCGAGGCGTGCAGGATTGATTAGTGGCACACTCTGTCCAGGCACAAGTATGTCACCTCTCCAGGGAGGGCAGGGCCAGTAAACATCCACTGAATTGGTCTTGGTGTCTGAGGCAAATCAGCAGTAATAGGTTTTCACAGCAAACTAGAATATGGGCAACAGGAGTGGGAGATGGTTCTGCTATGACGTGAACTGAGCTCTTTCATTAAGCAGAGGGATGTACAAACAAACTCTAAGGTTTTGTTGGGTTAATGCTTTTCAGATTGGAGATGTCGAGGGAGAGACTTAAGCACAGATAAGCTAAAAGAGGCAGTTACACAAATATAATCAGAGAGTGAGAGTACGTGGGCAGCTGATTTTTCTTCCATTTTTCAGCCCGGTCAGCAGTTGGCGCTGCGGCAGTATAACCGTGACACGAAATTCATAAAGGCAATGAAGGTGCTGCTAATCCTTTTAGCACCCAATCGCTCCAGTCTCACTCCCTGAGCAGCCTGGTTGCTGAGTTGTTGCAGCACATGCCACATACACACACAACACTGCAAGTTTCAGCTCTGACCCGCGCCTCTTTTTTAAACGTCTTTAGCCCCTCTCTCTCTCTCTCTCTCTCTCTCTCTCTCTCTATTTCCTATCTGCCTTCCAAGTGCTGTGAAATCAAGGTAGAAGATCACCTTTACAAACAGATTTAAAGAGTGTGGCTTACAGTCCCCGAGTATATTACAAACTTCACGCCCACACAAATGTCCATAACTCTTAGGAACATTCCTTATTGGCCTTGCAAATCATCACATTAGTACGTTCTCTTCAGTCTCAAAGTTATAGAGTGTTAGTTGCCTTCACTTTAAAGTTTTCTTGCTAACATGAACTATTTCATGTTGATTCAGCATTATTTAAATAGTGCTTATTTGAAAAATGTTCATAAAAGTGGGCTTAAAAGAGCGTTGTAGCCCACAATAATTCAGCAGGGCGAGGGGGTGTTGTTGGGGAGGTGCAGTTGTCTTGATTTCGTCTGAGCTGGGGGGGCCCCCACAGACTTTAAAAACATGTGGGTTAGCCAATAATACATAGCTGCTGCCTTGTTTTGATTACCTCGCTTTGCTATGCCAACATTTTAACACATGTTGGACGCTGAGTGTGAAGGCGGCTCATTGCGAGCAAAGCGTCAGCAGCAGCCAAAAAACCAGCTCCCACCGAAAACAAGCGGTTAGAGAAAAATCCGGGATAATTATATATAATTTAAAGAGTAAGGCGGTCTGAATAAAGCCGTGCTGAGGAGGTCTTACGTCACAGCGGTAGGATGTGACCCTGTTGACTCATGATAGCCTCGCTGACAGGACACAAAAAAACACAGAAACAGGAAGCCCGGTGAGAATCATTAATCAATCTTACCGATCCAAACGTCATTGTCAAACCAGGAGAGGTTCTTCTGCGAGCTGTCATAGTAACCGATCTTCTTGTAGCTTCCTCCTGTATGATTGAAGGAGGGATGAAAGAGTGATAGGGAGAAAAGAACAGAAAAGTTTAATTGGCATTGCCTGCAAAATTTCATTTCCTCCCCTGGTGTTTTTGATCTTTAACAAAACAACAGAACTTGACAGAACTGATTAACATTCATAATTCATTCAGGCACCATTAAGCTACTTTTCTATCGTTCTTGTTTTCATATCAATCGCCTGAGTGGGCACAGAAATATAAACACAAAAGAGGGGATAAAAGAATTGAAGGATGAAAAGGTGCACAAAGAAGGACAAACAAAGAAGTAGCAAGGGGAGAAGAAGGAGAAGAGGGAAAGGTGGGGGAGACAGTTGTGGAGGTGGTGGTGGTGGTGGGGGGGGAAGCTTATGAGGCAGCCTTGACCAGGAATACTGATGAGGTCCCACAGTGATTCAGGGATGCAAGTCAGGTCGCCTCATTGTGGATGTCAAATTACCTCGACACCACAACAGGAAATATGAGACAGAACAAACGCGGGGGGGGGGGGGGGGGGGGGGGGGTTGGGGGGGAGAGAGAGAGGCAGGATTATAAATTCTCATCCTTTAGGACGCCTAGGAGAACAGAGGTAGAAAATAATCCTCAACCTTATCCCGCGCGAGGAAACTCATTAAGTCACCGGTGACAAATAGGATGCCATTTCCAGAAACGGCTTAAAAACGGAGGCTTGTGCCCAATTAGAGCAAAGCTTTGAGTCAACACATTCCTGCATCAAGTCCGTTTTCGGATGCAGTGTCACCGGACATTTAGACCAGTCGCAGAGTGGTCAAGTGAAAAAAAAAGTACCACGACCAAAAAAAGAAAAGAAAAGAAAAGAAAAGAATCATGTTGCTCTTAAATGGGCTGAGAGCAAAAAATCAATACATGATGAATCCAGTCAGAGGTGATTAATTTGATGAATGAGCGACATTTACAGTACAGGCCACATTCTGCAACACAACATCAGTGGGGAGGACAGTGTGGGAGTGTTTTACCTTGCAGTTGCTCGATAAGAGTCATTGCCATCCTGGAGCCCTGAGCATCAAACACCACTTGGCCCTGAGACAAAGACAAGAGGGAGATTTTTTTTCACCCTGCATCATTAACTCCTCTCTTGAAGGAAAAGAGGGACATTTTGATAAATACACTTATTAGCTCTCTCGCTCAGGGTAGTTCTAAAAGAGGAATACAACTGGCATGTCTATACGGTAAATATAACGCAGCAGGCAGTTAACCTAGCTCGGCACAGAGAGAGGGAAAAGTGGAGAATAATTCCTGGCCATGCTAAAGCTGTAGAGGAATCTGTGGAAAAAAAATGGAGGATGACGAGATGCAATCACTGCAGTGGTGTCTCTTTACAACGACTGAAGATGTTTATAATGTGTATGGATGTTATTGAACCAATGTTTTAAATCAATATGTACATGTTTAAGTATTAAAGGCAGGGTTGGTCATTTTCATTGAGAGTAGCATTCCCTCAGTGCTCCGTCTACACCCACCCCCTCCCCTCTGTGCCCCCTCAAAAGCCACGCCCCCTCACTTAAATGTACGAGCGCCGCTGTTTCAGAAGCGGACCTCAGCTCATCGCTTGCATTGTGTGGAAACTACGTCGTCTCGTGTCTCATTCAGCTCTTTGAGTGTGGTCTAGTGCGGGGGTGAACGAGCACGTGAGGCAGGGAGTCGTGTGATTGGTTCATCAGATTGGTGCCTCGTGGCAGACATACAGGCTTACAATGACAGATACAGATGCTACAGATGACAAATTTTATTTTGTTCCTTTTTCAGAGCACGTGAGTTATTAATTTCTGTCAGGAAATAAAGATAATTTCAACCCAAATCTTGAAGGAAAAAAAAAGTGCATCTTGAGAAAATTACCGACCCTGCTTTTAATTCATCCCCAGAAAGTGCTCTGAACTCTCTCTGCGCTGTCACATAAAGCATGGCAACAAAGCTAACCTCTCCATGAACTGGTTTACAATTTATTTCTGAATTTGCTAATTTGTGGAGGCAGTATAGCTTAGCCTGTCAGGAGTCTGATTGGGAGCCAGAGGGTCATCGGTTCAAGTCCCGATCCTACCGAAGTATGGAATTTGGGACTGGTTGCTGCAGATGTTTATATTCCTGGCCTATGTGTGTGCAGCATGTTCAGAAAACACAAGAGTGAAAGATATGATTTTTTTCTTATTATTAATTAAGTCCCAACAACCTTCAGACTATAACTGAGAAAAGTCCTATGTGTGCATTAGTGGACAACATTGAAGGGTATATTTTCCTTTCAGCTCATAAACTCACTCGGCTCTACTGACAAAAGTAAGGGCTGAAATCTGGGACGGTTGCCACATCACTGACAAGACTTTCAACCTGGCAAGAAATAAAACGAGAAAAGCTGAGACGTGATTTAGATAAATCTGTCCCCTCTAACTTTTTTTGGGGGGTTTATTAAAGAGTCTACCCAAAGTGATAACGCAAATAATCCATTGAAAACACCCATCACAGTGTAAAGCCCTGTTTCATGGTTCAGCTTTCGCCTCAAACACTGACAGCAGCTGTTCATCCAATCACAGCTTGTAGAGACGGATTTTAACAGATGTTTTCGATTTTGCAAACAAAAATATAATCTGTGAACTTTTGGATTGTTAGAAAACCCAACTGATTATCTGAATGCTTGTTTTGCACATCAGCCTCACATACGGTGAAGCTGCAGAGTTCCTCAATCTCAGGACTCATTTGGTAATATTGTTATTATCAGAAATCAGATTATCATCAGAAAAGATGGCCAAGAGTACAAAAAAAAAAAGAAAAACATTTCCTTTAATCGCACAATAAGACCTTAATCAAAACAATAAAAACGATGATGTCGGTCGAGGCTGGTGGAGAAACATAGGAGCGATTTTCACTGCTACTCCCGACCCCCCCCCCATTTTTGCCTTTATTTGATTATTTGATAGGACAGCCAGAGAGAGACAGGAAATGTTAGGAGGAGAGAGTGTGGGATGACATGCAGCAAAGGGACGAGGTCGGATTCAAACCCATGTTAGATGTGATGAGGGCTATAACCTCTGTACGTGGGGCGTGCTACATAACCGCTTGGCTATCCGGTGCATCTATTCCTAATGTTTTAAAATGTTTTGCAAACACCATTTTCAAAACATGACTGGCTAAAGTTTGAACAAAACCTTGAAACTACAAGTTTCCTTAACTTCCGATATGTTGTAAGGCTGGTGAATTGCTCCCTCCTCGAGACGTGCGCACTTTTCCTCCTCATTTCAACCACAAGGACTCTCCTGCTCCCTTCTTCTGTTTGTTTGTTCTGAATCTTAATAAAGTCTTTGTTTTTCTTTCCTGTTTGTGTCATATAAGGAAGTGGAGCCACAGTCTTAACTTAAACACACACAGCGGTAGTGTATGAGAGTTTCACACACATACCAGGGCGTCACAAACACAGAGCATATGTTCAATGCAGTAATTATATGCTGTAGAAAAGGGAAATATGAAATGACCCACTCTGACCGGTCGCTGTGTTGTTGATGACTGTAATTATAACCATTAAAAAAAAATGATTGTCACATAATTATAAATGGTTAATATTAAGTATGTACGAGGTATATCTGACTTGTACATTATTTTTGAAAAGATCTGCCAACGTCTGCTACTAAACACTATTTTCCATCCCTTCTTTCTTCAGCCTGGATAAACATTTCACATTAAAGACCTCAGCAGAGATATTTAAAGAGAGAATATAAGCATTTTGAATCACCGTGAAAAGCAGTGACTGTAATTTTAAGGATCAAAAATGTCAAGTCATTGCATATTCATATATGATAAATAAAAGTGGGGCATCAAAGTTAGGGAATAGACTGTTTATTTTTTTTTAAATCTCTCTATTTTTTGGTATTTTTTTCTCATCATGTGGTCTTACCGAGACCCCTTCAAAGGAGCTGGTGTTCAGGGCCCTGTAGATCTCGGAGGTGATGTCATGGTTGTTATAGTTGAAGTCCTCAAGTCGGCGGCCCTTGGCCTTCAGCGGTGCTACGGTCTTATTGAGGGCGAGGGCCAGAGCCCAAACTGCGTCGTAGGCCAGAGGAGCCTCCTGAAAGCCGCCTGTCTCCTCGGGGTTCATCCCACCCAGACGAGACATCAAGGCGGCGATGAACTCCTGCGATGTCTGATGGAGACGGGAAAAAGACAATATTTCAAAACAAAGGCACTTTTAAAATTAAGATTTGTGAAGAAGAAATATTAAAGGCATTTACATATTTCTATTTTAAGACAAGAAGATGGATGAGACTGAGCGGCGAAGAGGAGGAGACAGTAAAAAGGAAGCAGCGGTGGACCATCTGGAGGATTTATCGGATAAGTCAAACTCATCATTTTCAGCAAAAGTTAAAACTTGAAGGTTTTTATAATATGAGAGATCGCGTTATAAAATAAAGTTAGGCTTCCAAGTAAATGTAATCAGAGTGACACAAGTGATAAAGCCCTCAGGTCGGAGATATAGAACCCTGACCTGGAAGAGGGCACGCTTCAAAAAGAGCTTTGTCCCCTCATTGATTAAAGCCCTAAACAAGCTTCCACGCTGACTGGCCCCTTCTTTGCTTGGTGTTTTCTAGCCTTTGTAATGGGTTTTCTACCTGCTGTTATTTGTTTTTTTTATGTGAACCGATCGGCAAAGCTGTGAGAACAAATTTCCCCCTGGGGGACAAAGAAGCGTTGTATTGATGATGGAATACAGATCAATCTTTCCTATCTTGGCGCAGTGGTTAGCCCCATGTATGGAGGCTGTAGTCCTCCAAGCGGGCGGCCCTGGTTCAAATCCCACCTGTGGCTCCTTTCCCACATTTCCCTACTCTTTCTCCCTGATTTCTGACTCTATCTACTGTCCTATCTCTCCATTAAAGGCACAAAAAAGATATATATATATAAAAAAGAAAGGGTGCACCATTTGCAGAGGCATAGTAAGGGGTTAAGTTTTTCCTTAAGGTCACCTCAGTTTATCTCTTGAGCTTACAGTGGGAGGGGGCATCTGGACCACGGGAGCTCTTAGGCTGACTGGAGGGCGTTTGGCATTCATTAAGGAAAATGCTGCAGGTTGACATTTATAAAGGAAAAGTAAGGACATTTTGTTAATGACTCTCATGCCTGAACGTGTAGCGTGAGGATGGAGTCAGCAGGAGATTAGCCTAGTTTAGCATATTAAGAAGCTAGTCTGTTGTTGTTGTAGTTTTGAAATAGGTTTGTGTGTTGATATTTTTTTTTAAGGGATGCACTGAGTTAACAAAATCCACGAAACTAGTTGGGGTTTTATGTGCTGACATTTTTCACGTCCTTAAAAAAAGTCTTCCTGAAATTGAAAAGGGAATTATCTATGGTAAATATCCCCAATATTTACACTTTGTTTTTTCATATTAATAAAAAAGTAAGACATCAAATATATTAACAAGTTGTGTTAAAGATTAAAGGTCTACCTGTACAAATAAACAGAGGCAGCTGATTTCCACTGTTTCCAACCGCATGAAAAGCTACAGTAAGCTTATATCCTGCTGGATGTAGCTCCATATTGAGTGTACTGATATGAAAAGCACCGACACTCTCATCTTATTAAAAAAAAAAAATCATCTTCAGTATGATGTTGAACCTTTAAATACTCTGCACTGCTCTTAGAAGAGAGCCAAGATACACTTTCACAGGTTTGTTGCACACCGTGCTCGTTTTCTTCTTATATCACACCTTTTTGCTGCAGTCGGAAACGAGCCAAGAGTAGGAAGAAGTGATGTTACTGTTAGCTCCTGTAAGATTTTTTTTATTACTTCACACCTTCTAAATGACATTCAGTATACGTTTAATACGCCCAGGCCTGGACGCAGGTGGTAATTAAGAGATTCAATCATAAAAACCGTCAGACACATGGCATATGGCTACAGAGGGAGGAAATACACCCTGTGGCACATCTCGGCTTTGAAAAAAAAAAAAAAAAAAAGGAAGGAAACCTAACAAGTTATTCATCCAAGGTTTGTCTTTTCTCACAAGTTTACATTTAAAGCTGGGGTAAGCGGCTTTGGGTAAATACGCAAGAGTAAGCTAGATTTTTAAGGTATCAAACAAAACAAAAAAATGTTGAAGCAACTTCCCGGAAGCACACGAACATGCACTGCCAAGCATCATGATGCACTTCTCCGTCAGCACTTCTTTAAGCCCTTTCAGTTTCATACACCATCTCAAATCTTTGGTCCTCTAGGACTACCACAATTCTACAATTCACTATCCAAAGCGACGTACATCAGAGAGTAAGAACAACACAAGCAAGGATCTAGAAAAGAGGAAACAATGTCAGTAAGAGCAAACAACTAGCTTTGAGTCTGATTGGACACACAGGTGCTGACAGGCAGAGCACAGAGGCAAAGCCCAACATTGAAGGCTGTTCTTCAGAGCTATAATCAGTATAGAAACCATCTTAAAGTCGTCGTTTTCAAACAAAACCATCGTCTTCATCATCAATAATATTGAGACCATCGTCATCATCATTGAGGTCGTAGGTATTCATGACAGAGCTGGGTCTTAAGCTTTTTCTTAAAGGTGCAGAGGGACTCTGCAGATCGAATAGAGTTTGGTAGTTCGTTCCACCACCGGGGGGCGACAGAGGAGACGAGTCTAGTCAGCGTTTTAGGAACCTGTTGTGAAGGTTGGATCAGACACCTTTCATTGTCAGAGCGTAGAGGGCGGGAGATAGTGTAGACCTGGATTATAGAGTTTAGGTTAGGTTGAGGCTCTTGTGTTGCCTGGGTTCTTATGATGGTTTCTGTGATGATTGGATTAAATATGTTTGTCTGGTATCTTGCTGTATGGGTTTTTTTGCGGTTGGGTTGTTTTTTGTTGTTTATATTCTTTCTGTTGTTCAAGTTCTTCTGTGTTTGGGTGCTTTTGCTTTGTTCTTTTTTATGCTTTGCTGTTTGTCAGAGCACTTTGTAAACCCGTGTTTTTAAAGGTGCTGTTTAAATAAAGATACTACTATTATTATTTATCACCGACCTCATCCCACTATCTTTTCTCCCTGGTTTTTGTGGGACTTGCTTGCTCGCTCTTACTTGTGGAGAACCTTGTTCATGCAAAAAGGAAGAGAGACAGTTAGGCCATCTAATCAAGTCATGTGGTCCAAATGAAATGATCGGGCACGCTGATCACAGACCTGTAACCGCAACTGAAGACTTCTTCTTTCTTTGTTCTTCTTTTGATTTTTAATTGCTGTCGGAGTTTCACTCAAAATAAGAAAAAAAAAACTGGTTAAATAAATTGCTTTTCTTTCTTCTAGCTATTAACTAATGTTTGTATTTAAAAAAAACGACAAACATGATCCTTCTCCTGAAAGCAGCGATACATGTGTGATGAGGGATTTTTGCTAACAATCATTAAGGGGTCTCTGTGGAGTCTCTGAGGCCAATTAGGCCTACAACCCCCGATGTAGTTCATTCAAATTCATCTCATTGAAATTCCACCTTGGTGTTCGGCGTTTAAATCTGCCACTGCCTTCTGAAATCTAGCTGACAAAGTGATATTGCAGACCCCGCAGTATCGGCGCCTGAGCTTCATCTGAGTGCTCTATCTAGAAGAAATACGCCAATTTCAAAGTTGGAAATTGAATTTGAATAGATTGACTATGTGCTGGAGTTCTGGCTGTAATTCTCATCGCCCGTCGAGCAGCACGTCAACAACTAAATCAGCAGGTAGTGGCAGGTGCTGTATGAATATAAACAACAGCTGCTGATGAAGTGCGAGAGACGGGGAGGAGGGTGCGAGGGGAGGAGAGGGGAAGATGCGGGGAAAAGGTGGGAGCGGGGACATGTTAAGAAGAAAGGAGAGGAGAAGTGGGTTAAAAGAAAAAAGAAAGATGAATGGGGGAATGATGGGAGCGAGGAGCAGCAGAGTCAGAGAGGGTCGAACAATGGGAGAGAAGAGGAGAGGAGGAGGCGGCTGTTTAATGGGATTAGAGAAGGTGAAGAGAGGAGAGCGACGGGTGATAGAGAAGCAGCGAAAACGACTGGTACCTGAGAAGCTAAATGAAGGTGAGGGAAATAATACATGGCGATGCTGAGGAGGAGTGTGACAGTAATACACATCTCCTCTTCTCCCATCAATCACTTTCGCTTTAAGAAACATAATATTGATTCGGGTCGTATGCAGTTCACTGAAGCCATGAAATCAAAGTTCTCAGTTTTCTGGTCTTTCCTTGAATAAAACTCTATTTCATGGGAATCGACCCATTTTTCATGAATGACAGAAGATGTTACGGTTAGGAAAGGAGAGCTGAGACTTTACAAAGAGGAGTGATAACCATAATGCATGATAATCAATGAAGACAGGTCACGGTGCAATGCTTTTACTGAGTGACAGGCAATGACAGCTCAAGATCACCACTGCTCTTAGCTTCTTTTAACAGAACTGAAGAGCTCAAACTCAAGTATTTTGTCTGTTCATTTTGTTCCTTAACCAAAACAAGGTGTGCTTAAGGCTGGCCCACGCTGAAAGATTTTAAAAATCTTTAGATTAGATTTCATAAATGGAGAGACTCCACACATAACGAAGAATAATGAGAGATTGAACAGTTTTGCTCCTTTATCATGTGGAGAGCAACAAAACTCAGGAACAGGCAGAGTCCTGTCGTCCAAACTGGAAAAGTCTCTTAATGTCTTGTGGTCATAAGCAACTTTAGAGGGGCAGTGGTAGTCTAGTGGTTAGAGCGCGTGCCCCATGTACAGAGGCTTTAGTCCTCCAGGCGGGCAGCTGGGGTTCAAATCCGACCTCCTTTCACCACTCTCTCTCCCTTCTTTCCAACTTTATCCAGTATCCTATCTCTACAATAAAGACAACAACTTAGAGTAAACTAACGTGGCGGACAACGGGCAAAAGAATGATGTTTTTGTACTACTCTCACTGAAAAAAAGAACTGGATGAAAGTTGTGGCATGAACATGCGATGATTGCAGTGGTGCTGGATTCATACCACTCTGTGCACCAAAGAGTGCATGCTCAGCCATGAATCCAGTCCTCACGTTTCCCCCATAAGGTTCCCCCCACACCCCACCACAGGGTATTGGATCGTAAATTATTGGAAGGTGTAATATATACGATTTAAAACCGGTGCAGCCGCATCATTTTCTTGATTGGATGAAGTAAAATCCCTTTTAACAATCCTCACAACGCAGGAGAACATGGCTGGAGGTTGTTTCATTTTTTCAGAGAGGGAGACTCAAGCTCTTAGGACAGTTAGCATGCTAACACGCTAAACAATAATTATATTATCAACCTAATGTTTATTTCGTTTTTTAGGAAATCCCAAACTTATTTTACAAGTATTGGTTGCAGTTTGAAACACTCTGCGGGTGAGACTCAGTCACATAAAAAGTGTCACATTTGGCACCTTTATATTACCACCTAACGTGTGCATGGAGCCATAAAACACAGGTGATAATTAGTGTAAACCATGTTTCTGTTTTAGTATCTCCCTTTTTTTACATCAAAATCAGTCAGAGGTGTTTGACTGTAAAACTTCACATCCAATCCCATCCCAAGTTAAGGCCCAGTCCCTTCCACTAGACTGGTGTTACCAACATGTTTAAGCAAATAAAGGCAGGTCTCAATTAGAGGCCTTTGGGCCAGCACCGCACTCTATAGTGATTATTTGAACAGTGAACTCTTTCTCTCTCTTCCCTCCCCCACAGTTCAGCAGGGTCGGGGTTACTAATCGAGATCAAATTGGTGATCGTTGTTTAATCTGTCCATTGATATCCTAATTGGAAAAAAAGTTAAATATTCTTTCTGGTGTAAATGTAAAATTTTGTAGTCTTTCCCATCTCGCTACACACAAGTTTTTTATTGAAAATATTTAAAGGACCTTCTTATATTGACCAGGTTATTAATTGAAGTTTTACTGTATGTTTGAAGGTTGTAAGGATTGCAAGTCATAATGGATTTTAACATGTTGTTTCCTCACTTTTAATACATCTCATGTGTGATAATTCTGATTTACAGAACGCTTTTTTCTTTGATTGTTCCTTGTTTATTGTTACACATTGTTTTTGTGCAGTTTCCTGAGCACAGAAAAACACAAGCATGAACTCCATTTCTCAAGTGCAGATCTGGTGTCATTAAAAGCCCATTAAACACATTGGACCGGAGTGCTTTAAGTATTTTGCATTGCGCAAGTATTTTTATGTGTACCCAGTGCTCTGCAAGTCTCCCTTTTTTGCAGCCATTACAGCACCGAACACGAGGCACTGTGTGTCCTGACACATTCCTGTCAGCATTAACTCATTTTGAGCTCCAGAAGCTCTTCAGTTGGATTGGACCACAGGGGCCAGCCATTGCTCCCCACGTGCATCACCACTTTCCCTTCCTCAGACCACTTTTTGGTAGTTACAGACCACCGCAGACCAGGAACACACCTTAACAGCTGCTAAGTTTGAGATGCTCTGACCCAGTCGTCTAACCACCACTATTCGGCGCTTGTCAAAGTCGCTCACATCCTTACCCTTGCCCATTTTTCGTGTTTCATGGGGTGGGAATCGCAGGGTAGCTCAAGATATGATACACGATACCTAGCCTATTATAACGATAATATCACGTTCAGCTGTACTGCGATAATCAATATATTGCAAGGTAATGAGATAACAATATATCACAATATCTGATTAACTGAACAACACAGAAAGGCCCCTAAAAAGGTTTATTAATTTAGTGCCAGTGTCAAAAACTGGGACAGCATGATGCTAGTATTTAGCCTAAGAGCTACTGTTCTTCTCATTGTTTGTGGCTACAGAGGGTGTAACTTCCTTTCTCTACTGTTTGACGTCACTCACCTGTCTCCTTCTACTCTACTCCCGCAATCAGCTTCTTCATTGGCCAATTTACTTCCTCTTTTGTTACACTCATTCATGTTAGAAGTGCCATCGCAGAGGAGTCATTAGCTATGGATGCGAGTCAAATTGGCAGGGAAGTCTGTTTAGAGCGCCGCATTTTAAATTAAAATATCGATATTTGCAGCCAGCGTATCGATAATTGGATCACACAAGTCAGGATGACGATATATTGGCGTATTGATATTGTGTCTCACCCCGAACAAATTGTTCATCTGCCTCCCTAATAAAAAGATAATCAATGTTATTTACTTCACCTGCCGAGGGTCATACTGCTGTGACTGATTGGTATAGCGTTTCCATACTAAAATGATTATGAGAGACAACAGGGTTTTTTGAGTTCCCACCATGTTGGAGACGCCGCGGACGGTCTCAGGATTCAGCATGACGATCTCCGTGGTCACATGTCCCTCCACGGCCTCTGTCATGTTCTCAATCGTGCAGTTGATGGCCGGGTCTTTGATCTTGAACCAGTTGTCTGCGTACCAGCCGATCAGGAACCACACATACTTCTTCCCATAGAGCTTCTCCTTGAACACCTGCAGCAGGGCGGGAGCGAGACAGTGATAAATAAAGCATGAGGGGAATTATTCCCAGAGATGTGTCGAGCGTGTTGTATCACTGCCAAACAAGGAAATTCATTCAGACATTCAAAGAGCTCATTACAGAGCTCCATTTCTGTTAATAGCCAGTCAGGTTCAGTCTGTTGGGAGCAATGGAGCAAGAAAAGGTACTAACCTCACAAAACACTTTCCTGGCTTCGGTCTCATAAAAGAGGCCCACAATGATTCTTGCATCTTGGCGCTGCATTAAAACAAGAAAGCAAAACAACTTAGTTACATCAGAATGACAATAAAACTTCTCTATTGCACAGCTTGATGTGGCAGCACAGCGAGCCAAAGTTCCTGCTGCTTCACAGGACGGCACGTACTGCTGTTCAGGAGCTGCTAATTAGCATGGCGCATTAATTTCCTCTATCCAGTTGGCTCTATGCTAATGGGATCGTGTGCAGCTGTGAGCCGGAGAAGGAAGGAGAGGAAGAGAGAGGACCAGCAGCTGAGGTGAATTTTTAATCAAAGCACCTTCAGGTTCTTGACAGCGACAGCCGGGTCGGTGAGGAAACTCTGACGAACGCTGATCTCGATGCCCGCCTCCTTTGTCCTCTGCTCCAGATCGTCCAGAGTCTGTGAGATGAAAGGGAGGGACAGACAGGGAGAAGGAGGGAGGAGGGGGGGGGAGGTTAGAGAGGTGGTTGAACAGAGAGGGACAGGGAGAGGTGTTAGGTTGAGATTATAGAGAAAGACAGCAGAAAAGTCTGAAGAGTCAGAAGAAAAAAAAACTAATACAAAAAATCTGAAGTGTATATGAGAAACATCAAGAGGGGGACTGACGTCGTGGGGATGTATGATAAACAAGTGAGGCAGCAGATTTCTAGACAAAGAACACGAATGGAAAAGAAGAAATGAAGAATACGAAGAGGGTAGAGTAAAGAATGGGCGGGCGGGATCATTAACTTCCATTACAGGAACCAACCCAAATGTCTTGGTTATCGACCGCCCACAACCGAGAGAGATGTATTGCTTGATCAATATTTCTCACAACCAATACTCCAACAAATTACTTCAAAAATCCTCCATCAATCGGCAGGAGAGATTGCTGCTGGAAGGTGCAGCCTAAGAACACAACAGCTCTTGTAAACAAACACAGAGAGGCAGGAAGGCGATCGGGCGAGCAGCCATTTACGTAACGACATGGAGGAAGTGATAACAAAGCATCTGAAAGGGAGATTAAAGGAAAGAAGAAGGAGGAGGAGGAGTTGGAGATAGAGTGCTTTGATAAGTATTTGACCCCTTTAGATTTTTCATCATTGACAGAGTCACAACCTGGAATTCAAATTAATTGGGATTTTAACCAAATAAGACCCCGAGGATTAGAATAAATGCCTCTATATATTTATTTTAAAGGATAGATAGCGGTCACTTGGTCATGTTGGAAGAAGCGATTTAAAGCACAAAGACAGCAATAACTTTTTTTTTTTTTTTTTTTTTGTGTTTACGCAGCAAAGACTCATAGCAGATGTTTGACTGTTAAGAGGAGGGTGCACAGATCTGATCCTGATATCTGATCTATACAATTTAGTGCTACGCTATTCTGTGTTTACAGCAACTACAAGCACGTACTACTTCAAAAATGTCAAATCTTAAGTTTGGCATCGAACCTGTTCCTGATTCACGATACATTCCCTTTTTGTAACAAAGGTGCGATAATTTCAAGATCTACTAAAGCCTGCGGAGTGCTTAGAGGGTCCAGACTTTTATTTGACATTAGAAAGCGCAATAAAATGTGTTCAAGATAATGCAGCTTTTATTTGAAGCTGGTTAGCAGAGATGAAAACCTAAAACACAGAAAACATTTATTAACTTGCAAAATACTTCAGAATTTGTGGACTGAAACCAGCTAACAATCAGAAAACAACAACGCTGTAGGGGCGCAGTGTCACATCTCCAGGATAGTATAGTTTCTATCTTCTGTTGTGCTTCCTTATTTACTTTGAGTTTGTATCTCAAGTGTTTGTGGAGTCGTGCATTTGGGTTCTTTGTTTTATGGTTCAGTCTGACATGCAGGTGTTTTTAAATGAAACAGATGATGGATCTGGTTATATTTATTGTCCGTTCAGAATGGGCTGGCAGATTGGTAAAGTGCTGCAGTTTGTGTTGTTGGCCGGTGTTCCACTTAATTCATCGTTCCCGCAGTGCTTCACTTTCATTTTGCAGAGCCTGCGTGTTGAATACGTCGGGTCAAGCTTCCTCTCTTGAAGGAGATTGTAAAATCCAAATTGAGCTTGAACCCTTACCCCCCATGAAGAAAGCACTGGCTGAATGTCTTAAAGACGGCGCAGTCAGTGATTTAGTATGCCAGACACAGCCATACATTACCATTGCTGAGAGCTAGTTCATTTTAATAGCAGGGCGGACTAGCAGCGACCAACACACACCTGCTTCATCGCTGACCCAAGGAAGGTAGAGAGGGTGCAAAGAACGAAATGCTAGAAGCAGGTTTGTCAAGCTCAAACTGGCTTCGAGTGAAAATTTAACTAGAGCAATAGAAATGAAGTTTCTTAAAATCGACATTTGGATGTTTTAAATCTATTCAGGATGGTAGAAATTAATAATTGTAATTCTGACATGAAGTTAATAACAAACAAGAAGCAGATCAGAGTCATCTCACCTTTGTTAGGCTGACTACTTCTATGGCTATTTGCAATATCTGAATAGTGAATGTTTTGAGGGGCGATGGTTGCATTGCCTAACACAACTAACTCAGTCAAGCATCTCACAAAGCGTCATGCCAAAAAACTTTATCAGTATCGAGACTTTAGTTTAAACAAAGCTAGATGATTTTTTTTTTTTGTCAGAAAAATTACTTACACATGTACAAGGCAAGATCATCAAGATATAAGATGTACCTCTTTGTCCACAGGGGGCGCCAAACTCAACACCAAAAAAAGGTTTCTAACATTATCTTTAAACTGAGGGGATTGATTGAACCCTTGTAGTCTTTAGGGGGGAGGGGGGGGTTGTCAATCATTTTGCATTGTATTATTCTTCCTTCCACTGTAAAATGATGGAATATTATGTGTCGGTCCATTACATACGACCCCAATTATATGCATTTCATTTGCAGTTGTAACATGACAAAATATATAAAAGATTAAGAAGGGTGAATGTTGATGCAAGACTCTGTAAGAGAAAGGTGAAAAGGCGAGATGAAAGGTACTGACCGAGGTGAAGACTTCGGTGGTCTGCTGGATGGTGGCGATACGTGTCCACTTCCACTTCTGGAAAAGCTGCACCCTGGTGGGGTTGTGGAGGGTGGCTGACGGGTGGGTGCGGAAGAAGGTTGGGAACCTCTGGCGGTTGGACAGGGCCGGCGAGCTGGATCCATAGGAGAGCTGGGAAACAGAAGAGAAAAAAAAAGTGCAAAAGAAATATAAGAGGAAAGCAATGAAACAGAAGTGCAGAAGAAGAAAAAAATAGAAACAGACGAAATACACTTCTAAAGGTCCTTCTAGGCATCAGCTGTAAACAGACTTCAATCAAAATGCATTCACATCAGAACTCTCTTGTTCTTTGCCTGTACACAGCGTGCTTTGATGCCAAATGGTTCAAACAGCAAGCAACAGAGAGGAAAACCCGGCACAAAGTCGGAGAACCAAAGAAACAATCCTCTCTCCTTTTTTCTCATTTTCATCCACACTCCCTCCTTTTCTTCTTTTAGCTTCCCTCAGGCTTATCAGGTGTGCCGATAAACTCGGTAATTTCCCTCAAAAAACACAACACTTCATGCAGGATTTCCCATGTATAGATTGCCGTGAAATTGTGATGACACATTCTGCTATTACAAACAGAGGAAATTAAAAAAAAGGATCTAATTATTGTGGTTGCAAACCCTAGAGATGGTTGGTTTCTTTCATTTGGGCCCACATAATTTGAATTCTCCGGCACAATTCCCACCAGAGGCACAAAGCGTAAGATGTGTGTCCAACGCAGCAGGAGAGAGAGAGATGGTGGAAAATGCCAACAGAAACAAGGAGAAGACGGTTCCTCGAACAATTAGTTTCACAGTGACAGCTGAAGATAAAATCCTCGGCAGGTCCCCTTTTAAAATGAGGAACCTGGCGTTAGGGACCCATTACAGACACAGCCAGCCGATCCTCCGTCACAGCTCTCATCTCAGCCCCATTACCTGAACAGCTCTGGGATGTTCACAACTGGGTGCAAAAAAAGGAGGCTTGATGAAAGATGTCAAATGTCTCGTACTATGTGGAGTAGCCACAATAACAAACCCCTCGCGGGCGCTAGCGGGTGGATGAAGGCATCCAAACGAAGGATGGGGGATCTATACAGGAAGTGACAGATGATCTGCGAACGACGGTAAAAGATGTGGAGAAACCTGCAGCAGCTCTGATGGATGACATACGCTCTATAATAAACAAGGGAGATGTATGTTCATCTTAACATACATGAGGGTATGACACCGTCAGAGAAGGACAAACATTTTGTAGAAGTTTTGTTGAAAAAGATTCTGCTTGAAGTATAAAAACAGACTTAATGTCTCTTCTCTGAAGTAAAAAAGGAAACTACAGGCTCTTAAATGTACTCACAAGATAAAACTACAGTATACCCTGAAGGACAACTTAAATGGCAAGTTTGTGCAAAGCTATCTGAACCTCACTATTAGGGAGACTATTAAACTTAAATCATTCTGACTTCAAATAAAAAGACTAAAACCATGGACTGATAACGATGAACACTTTCTGCAGTCAAGCTTTTCCACTTTCATCTGTGCCATACAGCTGCTAGAATAATCACTCTCCCCACACCCAACCCGACAGAACTCAACAACAGGACCACACGCATTGCAACCTCGATAGAACAGGACATCACACGTCCACTGAACACCCACTTCCCTCAGGATGGAGGTATGGACAGGAAAAGCATGATCCATGACGTTAAGGAACCTGACACACCAAGCAGACGGCCAAGAACTAGTGGCGACAAAGGCCACCTGTGGCGTCGCCTCATGTCTTGGCCAAAAAGTTGCACTTGAACACACCGCAAAGACTACAGCCGACGACCAACCACCATGTACGTTCTGCGCATGTGTGAGAGGAAATAACTCTCCATGCCAGCAGGCGGCAGTAGTCTGTTGTTATGACCATTTTCACACCGCTGTCGGTAACCACTCGTATTATAGGTAGCCTACTAATGGAGAATAACGTCTGATAAAAAGTTGAAATTGGCGCTGGTGTTGGCAGCCCTTGGTGGAAAGTGGAAAAAGAAAAGAAGGTGAGGTGACAAATAAGGAGAAACCACACTAATGGGTGAAAGCATGGATACTACAGCGGCATGCTCAAGGGGCTTTCCTGAATGTCGAGAGCTGGTGGTGTAGCCTGAACTAAAGGCCTCGCTAAACAGGCCAGAGTGGGAGCTTTTGATTGTGGTTTGACTTTATTTGTTTTATACCCTGTGTTTTGTGTATGCACTGGTCTTTGGTGGGTTTTGTTTGTTGGACAGAAACGAGGCTGTGGAAAGGAATTTCCCCATGAGGACATAAACTCTCAAGTCTAAGTCTTTGCTTGATATGTATTTCAAGTGTTTCACAATTTTCAAAACTTCAATATAAGGTTGTCAAATACTTCCATACTTCAATATGTTTGGATAAAAAAAGTGCTTTGAATCAATTACTGCTATTTTATCGGTATTTAGTCTCAAAAAGAACTTAAGAATTTAAGTGCAGGTGGGGGTCGGTCGCCGGTAGCCTAGAGGTTAGTGTGTGCACACCCCATGTAGAGGCTACAGTCCATCAAGTGTGCAGCCCAGGTTCGATTCCTTTCCTGCATGTCATTCCCCACTCTCTCTCTCTCCCTCCCTCATTTCTCAATCCATCCACTGTCATATCTCCAAAATAAAGGCATGAAATCCCCCAAAATAAACCTTTAAAAAAAGAGAGCAGCTGTGGTGCATTCAGCTCCACAGGTTGACAGATACTGACATTTCTCAAACATTTTTGGTGTCTCAAAAAACTGTTTTTGTTTGTGTCTCTTACAAGCACACCGAGAGCAGAGGAGGTGATGCTGTCTGAATTGAACGAATGAATGGGCAACAATTTGGATGTTTTGGTGTTATTTTTGGTAATTCAAAACTAAAAATCGTCCAATATTGACGGCCTATCACTTCTATTTTTGTCGCCGTGGTAGGAGGCATGCATTGATACTGCTTTTCTAGTATCGTTTCCAAGTTTGGATTCTCGTATCGTTACAACTCCACTTCAATACTGTTTACTAATAGCCTACAATCTTTATTATTTTAAATACTGATCAAAAAGCACAGATCCTTTAAAAATACTACAGATCTTCAGTCATATTTGTTACCTAGAGCTGCTACATGTAAAAGAAACGGAGAAGTGTCTTCATTTCTGAAATCAGTGGTAACATGCATGAGTGAGAGTGCAATTCTAGCTGGTAATCATAATCAAGAAAATACCCAATATTGTTAGGACTAGGACCAACTATTTTTGTTGCCATGGTAACAAACAGGTAACACTATTGTTGGATTTTTACTGGTATCACATCTAAGTTCAACGTTCTGGTATTATGACAAACCTCAGGTCTCTCATTTTTATAGTTTTACATCAGTCAGGCTGGCTGGATATGCTTGTAAGGAACACCAAAAAAAATAATCCTCTTTTCTATGTCTGGCCAAACAATGACCATTCATTGAGGTCAAAGTTGGTCTTGAAGTGGGAAAGGAAAACTACAAAAATGCTGAATAATTTAAAACCAATAATTCCAGTAAAAAGCATTCAAGCTAACAAAAAGCCTGTTCTCCAAATGGAAATCGTAGGTTAAGATCATTGTTTTTAAATGAATAGGGTAAGTAAAAAGTTAACTGTAGAAATAAATACTCCAGAAAGGTGGCGATATCTGAAAACTGTAAATTATTTTAGCAACAAAATAAATGTACTAAATGACCTCCCACCAGTGGACGCAGTGATTGGCAAGCTCCACAACAGAAAACAAAACATGTTTTTCTTAAAGTAAAGGTCTGACTGTACTCTGTATTTTTCACTTTGACTAACTAAACCAAACGATTCATGCTTCCTTCTGTATTAACATGTATTACCAATTCAGACAAAGCTGCATTTCCACAGCCACTGCGACTGTTCAGCAAACAGAGATGTGCACAGACTTGGAGGCACAGTAATTGAAGGCAATAAATTGTTTACTTGCTCAGAGTTCAAAACAGAGTTCTGCAACAGGTAATCTGTCAGCAAGGGCAAACCAGGTAGGCGGGAGAACCCTGAAACAGGCTGTGATTGAAGAGGCGCAGGCAGAAGATAAAGACTGGAATGCTTAAACCGGGTAACACATCACAGTACATCACTGCCTCTCAATCTGTTTCACATCAAGGTACATAAACTGCAAAATTAGACCACTGGCCCAGTTTATAGAGGTTTTACATGGCAAGTGTCTGAATCCAATATCTGAAATGGTAATACATTCTGTCATAGAGTTAATCATGCATGGATTTACATTTACAAGTGAGCTGCTGGGGCAACTGATAAGAAACCACCAAGGTACCTCAAGTCTCACTAGACCACTGTGAGAAATATCTGCATTGGATGGTCTGGAGAAACACTGGGTAAAGGGGTCTGGTATATGCATGCAATATGATGGGAAAGGGTGGACAGGTGAGCTGCATATAGCTGCTGTGCAAAAAAGCTACAACAGAAAAACAGCTGGCATCTAAATAAGCAGATATGATCGAAGTGAAAACACATAAGAAGTCAATTTAATGCACTGGGAGACGTGATGCCATTTTGGTTAATCCTGAGTCATTTCTGCTATGAACTAATTGTTATGTTGCATGTTAATGGACTTTGTATGTTGGATAAACGATCATGAATAAGTAAGTCATGACATGCATGCAGCTACAGAGCTTAATGCTTATTATTGCCTGGATATAAAAATGGATGAAATGTCTCAAATCATATCTATTTAATTTATGGAGCAAGTTTAAACACTAGCAGAGTTGACCAACAGTAAGGTAAAATACATAGACAAAATTAGCACATCAAACTCAGGGGTGGAATAGGGAAATAAGTGTGTCATCAGTCTGGTCTTAAGAACCTACAGAAGGGTAGGGGAAGACTATTCCAGAGAGTTCGTGGCCGCTACAGATATGAACGATCGCCCTCTCCCCTTAGCCTCGACCGAGGAACAGCGAGGAGAAGCTGGTCTGATGACCTTAGAGGTCTGGGAAGAGAGAGGGGGAGTAGGAGTTCAGAGACGTACGGGGGCAGGCAATGTAAAGCCTTAAATATAGTACTTGACGGGGAGCTAGTGCATAGAAACTAGCACAGGAGAGATGCTTTGTCTTTTCCTGACTCCCGGTAACAATCTAACTGCAGCGTTTTGTACCATCTGCAAGCTGGACAGGGACGACTGACTGATGCCAAGGTAAAGGGTATTATAATAGTCCACCTCCTCCTGTAGGACTGCAGTATGGGGTAGTACTGTAGCCATTCAGTGGGGGGGGGGGGGGTACAAACGATGTTTAGCGTCACTTTTGGTCTTTGGTAAGTATACAAGCATGCTTGCAAAGACAACGCTAACATGTTGATGTTTAAAGGGTAATACTTGCCATGTTCTCCATGGCTGTGTCCAAACCTGCATACTTCATTTATTTATTTAAAAGGCAGAATGCTGAGAGGTCAAAATCTTTAACTCAGAGCAAATCAAACCAAAAAAGAACTAAAGTCAAGTCAAAGTCAAAGTCAACTTTATTGTCAATTCCAAAATATGCCAGACATACAGTGGAATCGAAATTGCGTTTGTCTCCGTCCCACGGTGCAATACAACCAAAATAAGGTAAAATAAGATAAAATAAGATAAGGTAAAATAGATAAAATAAAATGAGGTAAAAATAAGATAAATAATATTTACAGTAATAAATTCTAAATTGTGCAAAAGGTACAAAATGGTAAATATTAAATATTAACCTAACATAGCAACTTAAGCACTGAGTGAAGTCAATGTATGGTCTTTGTAATTTATTTTGGTGAATAGACGATCGACGGTAGGGCCTGACCGATGTGGTTTTATTAGTGCCGATACCGATTCTGATATTACGGAGAGAAAAGAATCAGAAATCTTTGTTAGATCTTTCTTCAATCTTAAGAGATAGACTGATAAAAATATACAAACACATTTATTGCGTTGATCCCTCAAACACAGTCATCAAACACATAATTATAATGAAAACAAGATTATAGATTTTTTAAATTTTGTTTTTACATTTGAACAAAAGCCTTTATTGGCCAGAATACCAACACTGCACTGAAGCACTAATTTAGAATTTAGAAATTAACAATTGTACAAATAAACGATGCAAATGTTATAATAAACTTACATTGAATAAACCAAGTGATACTTGCACATATCGGCGATAAAACAAGCCGCTACTGAGAGTCACGTGCTATGCTAATTATCGGCCAGCCGATTACTCAGTGGGGCTCTAATCAAAAGACAAACAATTATCAACTAAGACACATCCTGCTTATAAATTCAGTTTCAAATTGAACATTTTAAGACTTTTGCTAAACCCCGGCAGAAAAACGTTTCTGGACAAGGTACTGATTCTTTAAAACGCCACGTTGTCATGTAAACCTACAGTAAGAAGAACTGAGGTCCTTTCAGCTCGGCCTTAAATTCTTTAATAGCTAAATATCATTCCTATAACTGAAATTTTGAAAATAGCTAAACTAGAAGCTGGAAGGTTTTTTTTTCTGTTCCCTTGTAGCCTTGTCGTTTAAGATCAATGCCTGTCTATGTTTCAGGGAGATTTTAGAAAGAGAGATAAAATTAACAGCGTGCCAAGAGGAGCCGAACAGGAGCCCCTCCTTGATCAGAGTCCAGAAATGGAGGTAAGCATTTGCCTCCCCGGCGCTCTGATGAGACTGTTTGACATGCGGCGAGGCTTCTGCAGGCAGCCAGCGTACAGAAATAATTGAGTGTGGCGGTTAGGAGCTTGTGCCAGTGGTGGCGTGTAGTAAAGGGAGACAGATCCCTTTGTGTGTGGAGAGAATCGACTGCTGGAGCTGAGGGAGCGAGGCGGAAACGTAGTGTGGGAGAGAAAAAGGGGAGAGATGGAAAAAGGAGGAAGGAAGGAAGGAAGGAAGGAAGGCGTGCAAGAAAAGGGGCGCTGAAATAGAGAAGACCAGCTCCAGGCATTGACAGCAGGCACAGAAAAGAGGAAGGAGAAGAGTCAGAATGTGGAAAAGAGTTTTTAATGATGAGGAAAGAAAGGGCCGACAAAGAGAGAAAGACCAGCGATGGAAAAGAGGGGCTCATGCCAACCACTAGAACTGATTGTTCTCGATGACTAATCTCTGGATGAAACTTCAATTACAGGACAAAGCCAACGAGAGGAGCAGTGTGAGTGACAGAGAGGCAGATCAAGAGAAGACAAAAGAGTGAGATAAACAAAATAAACCGACTGATGAAGGCATGAAAGGCAGAAATGTTTTCAAAAAGCAGCAGATCTTTAGCTGATTGAAAGATCTGGGATGTGTTCGCACTTGTCATAGATGTATTGTGATGCAGTTAGTGAAGTCAAACAACGTGTTTTGTGCTGCGCATAGTGTCGCTGTCAATGCAGGATGGTGAAACTGCCTCGTCTAGCGTCAGCGCTAATCAAAAGTGCTGTGTGAAGAGTTTAAGAATCAATAAACAACTACGCCATTGATTTGGGAAGCTAAGTGTAATTACTACAACTACAAAAGATCATTATTTAAAATGGATGTCAGCTTCAAACAGACTCTTCAGAGCATTTTAAATCGTTTGCCTGGACTAAATGCGAGGACGTTATCCTTTTAGCAGAAACAAATCTAAAGACTTCAGTGTCATTGTCCAGGTTTCTTATCGGCTCAGCTCCCTCTCAATGCTATCCAGAACAAAAGACCACCAGGGACAAGAGGGGATGTTGTCCTTTAAGCTGTTTGGCTTCTTGCTCCTGGGCCAGACAAAGGACCAGAGCAGTTCTTTAGGCCTCTTTGGACTTGAATCCTACACTATAACAATGAAGTGAATATAGCCACCATCAAGACCTCGTTCAATGGTGGAAACAAGAGAGAACAAGAACGATCTTAAAGGTATATTATCTAGAATTTGGTTGCTAATGTTTACATTAAAATATGTAGATTAATTAAAAAATTGACTAAACCAATGTGATATTGAGGTCTTGCGTTATGTCAAATATTTCCAACAGTTATCAAGGCCAGAGAAATCTGTCATTTTAAATTTGTAACGGTCCGTGTCTTGTAGGCAGCCGCCATGATGAGCCGCCATGACAAACACAAAATGTGTATCGTTGCCAAGTAAACACCGGATATTATGTCAAAGACCGCTGCATAAGCTGGCGGGAGCTGCTACTGAAAGCTGCCGTACTGTTGGGAGGGTGAGGGGCAACGGGAGCAGCAGAGAGCCTGGCGCCATATTTACTTCCTCTGTGACGTCTCTCCTTCAATATAAATGTCACAAAGGTGTAACGAGGGGACGAAGGGGATCCCGCCTCTGTGCCAACATCGGCTAACAGATGGAGCTACAGGGGCGAAACAGGATTGACTGTTAAGCGAGGGAGAACAGTGCTGTGTGTGTATGTGGAGTCTGTTTGTTTACTCGTCGTGCTTCAGTATTCACCATAACAATATTAAAATTTACAGACAGGGTCACCAGTATTACACCGTTGGATTGACCTAATCTACTTCTACAGTAGATTAGGTAGTCAGGGGTAGGAGTAATTTGTCAGTCAGAAGGAGAATTGCCCAATGCTTTATCGTTTTTTTCTCCTCTCTATATGCGAAAATATCTAAAAAAAAATCATTTCGGTAATGAAGGAAAATGTGCAGTAAATCAACCAGGAAGAAGGGTCATTTTGCTTTACTGTTTAAGATCAGAATTTCAAACTCGTCCTCAACAATGGCAATGATGTGCGATGCAAGATTCTGCTCCGATCGTCTGGAGCAGTTTGAGGTTCAGCGTCTTCCCCGAGGCACTTTGTCAGGTTGACAGACGGAGGCAGGGATCTAACCTTAAAGCCTGGGATAAGTGGACCATTCACTCTACCTATCCAGCCACAGCTCACACATTAGATTTAAAGGATCATTTTTAGCCAAATAACAGAAATACGATACAGTTTATTACATCAAGCAAAGCGGCTCATCTCAAGTTGAAAGATTTCTCTCTCCAAATAAACATGGCAGAGGTGACCTTGCTGTAAAGTTGTTTTTATTGAAACATTTTTTTCTACTGAAGCAGCAGTCACTATGAAATCTGTTTACGGCGCGCTCGGTAGAGAAACTGTGAAGAAGTGTTTGTGTTGAATTTCTCAATGTCTTCCTTAAGGCTCTGAATCTCTGAAAACAAAACTCCATTCTTCTCCAGTGTTTGGAGTTGAGTGACTTGAAAACCTCTGGGACAGATATTTCAGAAAGTAGGCTCATAAAACCAAAACAAAGAGGATACTTTCTGTTTTTTTTGCAACCGGTGTACATTAGAAATAATGTATAATTTGGCTTTTTGTTAGGTGGTTAACCTCAGACAGCTTTTAGGATACGTTTTTTTTCAGCTTATATTTGCACATATTTGTCAAATTGCTGAAATCTTGTGTATCATTATTAAAGTTTAGAGTTAGGCCGTGTGTTTTTGTCACATTCGATATATGAACAAGAAGCACATACGTTTTACCGGATGGCAAAACAAACTTATTAACTAATATAAGAGTTAACTGCAACTTTCTGCAGCATCCCTCTCCATCCGTTGGCAATGTTGTCTTTACAGAAATAACTCTCGCATATCCATCTTCTCATTGTTTCAGCCTGACAGAAGCAGACAGCTGGCGATCGTACCTTTTAGTGCGTAAAAAAAGTGAGCTTAATTTAGCTTAATTTAAGCTTGACTTAACAGAAACAGTTCATATCCAGCTTTGTGATATCCGATATCTCTAACTGGGACTTCAGGCTTTGTCGAGCCAGCTTACTCAAAAATGGGTTACAAATTAGGAAATACATGGCCTGAAAATTGTGTATTTGATCATGTTTAAATAGAAAAAGACACCCACCACTATGAGGTTCCACATGCGAGCGGCTTCGGCCACAATGGTGGAGACGCCGCTGCAGCCGGGCATCAGGACGATCTTGATGGGCTCGGTGTACAGAAGGTCGTACAGCAACTTGGTGGATTCTCCCGGGTCACACTGCAAGGACAAAGTGATAAAGCATTATATGGATGAACAGATGGATGGGTGGATCAATAAGAAGGCAGAGAAATGGATTGAGGTGTTGCAAACGAGGGGGGGAAAATTGGAGAGGGGGACATGGAGGAGTCAGAGGGAGGAAAATGAGAACGATAAGGGAGACAGATGGGATGAGAACAGAGGGTGAGGAAGAGGAAGAAACAAATAAGCAATGAAGTGTGGTAGATGGAGGCAACTGTAAACAGAAACAGAAAGTGGAAAACAGAAGGGAGCAGATAAAGTAAAAGGAAATGGCATAGGGGTCGCACGGAGCGACACAAAGGCCAAAACAAATGTGAACAGAAAAGACAAGTCGGAGAAATAAAAGGACAAGTATGGGAAATGAAACGAACAAAACAGACGAGGTCGAGATGGAATAAAGGGAAATGGCACAAAAGGGAGCAGGAAGCAGAAAATAACGGATGCAAATGTGACAAGAAATGACAAGCTGGAGGAAGAAAAGAATACCAGAGTTCACGTCCAAACACAGCGAGTAAGTATGATCGAAACACAACGCAATGTTTCCAGACGAAAAGAAGAGAAAGATGGGCAGAAATTCAAACAAAGATGAGCCTGATGACCGAAGCAGCATCACGAGTATCACAGCATCATCACAAGTCATTACAACCCTTCAATGAAGTCATTTACAACATGTCGAGGTGGCGAGAGTGCAGCTGGAATGATCCATCACCGCTCCGTCAGCCAGATTACCGACAGGCCGTCACCGCCGCACTGCTCATCAGAGTCGCACATAAACTGGCCTGACACGTCTAATGATTCAGCATAGGAGAGGAGATGTGGCTCACAAACACAAATACACACACGCACATGTAAAAAAAAAAAAAACCTCTATAGATGAGTGTCACAAAGAATCACACCACAGCTGATGATGGCGGCTACCAATACAGCTCCTAATTGGGGTGTTTGTCTCCACGGCTGAATTGTCTCTTTTTTTTTTTGAGGAGGTAATCACCACTCAACACCCTGCAGAGTGTAATATCTGGGCTTCTTATTGAGTGATGTGTTTTCCATTAACTCTAGATTGGGTGGACTCATAGAGGTGTCATGCCATCCCTGGAAAAGCCTCAGATAATAGATGATTCAATCTGAACCCTGTTAAAGCAGAGCCCTGACTGTTGACTTTTTCCACATAAAAGTTAAAAGTTCGGCTGAAATCACTGACGCTTTTGACCCATTGATTTGTTGGGTCGTGCAGGTGATCGCTGCAGACTGTAGAAAACCAAGGTCACAGCCTCAGCAGCGTCTCCTGCATCCACATTCAGAGCTTGGGCAACCACAGGCTTTTGAGAGCGCCCACAAAGAAATATATACTGTGAGGTGAGCATATAAGGAGAAAGGCTTTCATAGAAAATAAAAACCATCAATACAATAATCACTCTGACAAAGACACAGGAAAAAAACTCATCTGTGGCAGTCTCAGGCCTTCTATAAGGACGGAAGTACACTAAATGATTGTATAAATGTGACATTTATGACACGACTTATGTGCTCACACTGTACAGTCTGATTGACAGAATCGACCTGAGCCCACACACTGTATATGTCAAATCAGGATGGCTAACCAAAACTCCCACAGACCATGTCTTAGTCAAATCTATGTATATTTCAGTTGTCCCCAGTGGTGTGGTGGTGCCTGAAGAAGTTTTACCCCTAATTTTTACCCCAACTGAGTATTTTCAAGTGTCCACCTCAGAAGAGGATAAACAGCCTGTTATAAACAGTGACATGTACAACTACTCTTGCATATAGAGACAGGGCAGGGAGGGTCGTCTCGTCACCATTTTAGGAATAAAGTTGCAGCACACTGCTGAATACTGTCAGTCAATGTGCTCAACGGTGAGAATCAGACGGGATTTAGACTCCCCCACACTCACTTCCTTCAAGAAATCCCTAAAAACTCACCTTTTCATCACTGCCTACAACCATTGACTCTCATCCTCTTCCCTCGACACTACTTCTATGTTGTATTGTTCTCTTAGTTTTTGCTTTGTTTTTTGCGTCAAAGTCTTGGAGTATTTAGAAGAGCGCTCTAATTTATTATTATTATTATTATTATTATTATTATTATTATTAATAAAGAGACTGAAAAATAAGTGGGTACACTCCGTATACCCTGCACTACATCACTGGTTGTCCCACATGCACGGCTCAAATACAAACACAGTCTTTGCTCTCTCTCACATGCACACACATTCAGTATCATTCAGTATCATCTACAAACGTTTCCTGTCAAAGCGTCTTGGAGTATTTAGAAGAGCGCTCTAATTTATTATTATTATTATTATTATTATTATTATTATTAATAAAGAGACTGAAAAATAAGTGGGTACACTCCGTATACCCTGCACTACATCACTGGTTGTCCCACATGCACGGCTCAAATACAAACACAGTCTTTGCTCTCTCTCACATGCACACACATTCAGTATCATCTACAAACACAAGCTAGCTTGCAAACTAAATCATAACAAATATGCCCCTTCAGCCGGAGGTCTGCAACGTGTCATACGACGCTCATATCTTTGGTGATAAGAGGGGGAAAAGGCAATACACCAAATAGGCATGCCTGCTGTTTGCCATGGTACTTTTAGATGCTGTCTGCAAGTTTGCACAGGGGCAATTAGGGGGAGAAAAGCCTTGCAGTTGAGGAATGGGCTGGTGGCTCTGCTCTCACTGTGCGAGTGTGTGCAGTCGAACAAAATTTCAATCATTCCAGAAATACATCCAGCCTCATTTGGAGCAGCTGATTGGGTAACTGTTCGACCTCATTAGCTCTAACAAGTTTTAGATAACTTTCTAACCCAAAGCTGTTGCATTAAGTACTCCATTCATTCAAAATCTATGATTTTGAAATACGTTGCCGAAGCATGTTGTACAGAAAACAGTTGCCTTTTCTTTGTAAAACTTATAGCTGCGTGTGTTTTATTCCTGTGAATGAGAGGCAGATTGACACAGAGAGCTTTTCTGAATGTGTCTTTCCCACAGGTTGTTTATGTTCTCTTTCACTGTGGCTGTGGGCTGGCCTCATGCTGAGAAGAAGCTTGTTAGCTTTCCGGTGTTACAGAGTTTTAGCTTTCCTCTGATGAGCTGTAATTCATCTTCAAGCTGATTATCTGTGAAATATCAAATCAATCTGTCATTACTGTTCAACATTGCATCATTTGACAACAATTTTTCACACATTTCTTGATGAATCACCGTGTACATGGTGCACAACTTAGAATAAAATCAAAAAGGTACAAGATGTCATCTTCCAGAGGTGATTAAAATATGATCGAGGCACAGCGCTCTTTTCTCTCGATGTATTACTTTTTTCATTCATCTTTCCATCAGACAGATATATTTATTTGAACGTTTTATAGAATTCCATCAGAGCTTCAACTTGAAAACAGCAAAATTATAGTTTCGGGCTTGACCGTTAAATATAAAGGCATGCTTCAGTGAGAGACATCGTTTGAGTGGGTGGTCAGTCAATGCCAAAACATATCACAAGTGAACAAAGCACTCTTTGAAAGCTCACCATTAGATCTTTGCATCGATGGGTGAGAATGTCCCTGACTTAGTGAGATTATTGAACGCTCAAAGATAGACTTTCCTTTTGCTCTTAGAACATTTGTGTTAGTAAGAGCAAACTGAATAGCCTTTTCACCTTAAAATAGATGTTTCCGGGCGCCGGATAGCCTCATGGTTATGTCGCACGCCCCATGAATGGAGGCTATAATCCTTGTCACAGCAGCCGTGGGTTCGAATAAGAACTCGGCCCTTTGCTGCATGCCAACCTCCACTCCCTCCTCCCAACATTTCATGTCTCTCTACAGCTGTCCTGTCCAATCAAGGCAAAAAGGCCCAGAGAATAACTAGGAATAAAACCTTTTAAAGTCAGTACAACAGCTTTCAACAGGGAGAATGGTGTCTCTCTAATTTCCACCGAGTGCCCTGGTCAACAGCTCTCAGCACTATGTAACTTTGGCAGCAAGCGGCGGTTCTCTCACAAGAAGCACATTCTGCTTTACGCCACTAGCTCACACACCAATCTTCAGCTGAAATGACGCCAGTTAGACTGTCTCTGTTCTATTTGATACAAAAGCTGAGGCTAAGAGACAGAAGAGGACGGTGACGGATGAAGCTAAGAAGAGAAAAAGAGAGAGTGGCCGAGCACCTTAAAAAGGTTTTTTTTCATTCAATTTAGAAAGAAATCACTATATTGGTTGCCATATGGGTACCATGCTTAAATTGTCCTCTTAAATCGTAAAGTACAGGGTAGTCCAATGTTTGTGGGTATTCAGAACACTAGGAGGTGCATAAAGTGAGACTTCTTTTTGGGGAGAAACATAGAGGCTCATTTCAGTCATTTAGCTCCAAACCATGTGCTGAAAAAAGCTGTAAAATGTCTTATAAAATAAGGTTATTTTAGAGCTCCAGTTAGGAACTTTTGGTTTGCATCTACTTTGACAACCACTGGGGACAAAGCTGTACCTCTTATGTCTTTGCTGGTCTTATCCTGTAAGTAGTGCTCCTGCTGTCTTTCAACAGTCAAACATAACACTCACTGTGAATCTCTCCGATGGAAAATCTAAAAAAAAATATATATATATATATATATATATATATATATATATGTATACTTAAGGCAGTTTGTTTTAACTCACTTTGTCAGACACATACCTAGTGGCAGTGGTTACAGGCGTTACAAATAAAAATGTAGACATTTTCTCTCTCGTAGCTGATGGTCTTGTTTGCTTTTGTAGGTCACAGAGACATGTACTCTAGTTTATTTCGATCAGCATTTACAATTTTAATCTCAGCCTGTTTCATAACCAGATAAAAAACTTCTCACAGCAGCTCTAAATCTCCAAATGTAATAATTACTGTCTTCATTAAAGACCATTAAAGCCATTACACCCTTCAATCATTTATGGAAGAACCAAACAAAGGAGTAAAAGCAACAACTTTAACTTGACTTTGGATCTACAAGGAATACATTTAAACCTCAAGAGTTATTATTCCATGCGCATTCCACCTTACTCTTAAGAAAGACAAGGTTAACACGCTATGAAGGCGTTAAAATGAAGGGGGTCTATTCTTAAACAAAACAGCAGAAGACTTCCCAGTTCAATCATTCAAGTGCTTCTGTGAACAAAAGAAATGAAACCTTTGATTACAAAATGGGAGCACACAGCAAGAAGTTAAAAAAAAAAAAAACACACACTCAGTCTCCCTTATGGAAAAAAATGGAGAGAAAACAGAGGTGTTGGCAGGTACGCAATAAAGGCTGAGGCATCTCTGCTGCTGTTCTTAGAGGTCTGTCTCTGTAACCCTCCGGGGTCATCAGCATTTCCACTTTCATTTCAGGCCCTCCTCGGCTCATGAGAGACGGAGGTTTATGACCCTGGATGCCACTCAAATACCAAACGCACTCACCAACACAGATACAAGCAAGTGTGTGTGCATACAGCTACACACACATGACATATGGCCTGTGTCGCTGTCCTTGGTGCTGAAACTCCCAGAGCAAATATAAGTAGTGTCCATGCCTGTGTTGCCTTTTCCAATCAGTCAAGCTGCCCCCGTAGAAATAAACGGAAGGTTCCCTGAGCAGAGGGGGACGGGAGAAGACACGGACCCCTCCTATTACACTCTCTAATTACACTCCAGATTGAATGATGTAAAAAGAGTGCAGAGAGGGGATGCGATAAGGGCCTGGGGGAGAGCCTATGCATTGAATCTCAAAGCATTCAGAGCTGCAGATCATAATTTCTTCTTAATTACGTCTGGCAGCGAGGTCCAGGCTCGTACGCCAAACGGACATGCATAAGTACGGGTGATGAATACTGTTTGTGCCACAGCGGACGGGAAATCGTGTCACGGCTGCCAATTAAAATAAAGGGCGGAAGCGAGGGAAGCACCTTGTTTCACCATTTCTCTGTATCCCCACTGTCTCACTCCGTCACTGTTAATAATTGATCAAAGTTTGCAGGCTCGGCTTTGATATATCCATGGCAACGGCCTGCGCGGTGCGTGTGTGTGTGTGTGTGTGTGTGTGTGTGTGTGTGTGTGTGTGTGGATCTCAGAAGGCTGTAAATAGTCTGATGCTGTCGCCAGGATAGCCAGAGAAACAAGCCGCTCTGCTACCACAGGGTATCTGCATCCATTAAAGGGACAGGCTGGGATTAAGTGTTGAGCTTCATGAATATTGTATGATGTTGAACAAGCTGAGGACATCGCTTCATACTCCCAAACCTATTGGTCGGACACTGTGTGTGTGTGTGTGTGTGTGTGTGTGTGTGTGTGTGTGTGTGTGTGTGTGTGTGTGTGTGTTCAGGCACCTGTTTGCTTACTTTATTCAACACATATCTTGTATTCAATATTCAACACTTTAACGATGCAATAAAAGTTCCTTATCCTGATAAATTCAGGTCAAGACGACCCGCTGAATAATTACTCTTTTCCTGCCTTGATCTTGAGATGCAGGCAAACAAAGGGGCCAGTGGCGCCCTTGTCTTAATCTCACAGTTAAACAAAGACACCACGAGACGGAGATTTGTTCTCTGACCAAACAGGAACGAGGAGCGAGTTGTCATAACCGGATGTAAATATGATAGCTAATTAATCCCTTTCTTATAATTGCTTCCCTGCTTCTCAGAGGGTAAGATCCTCATTACTATTCCAGCCAGGTGAAAAATGTTTGCAATCAGAAGGTGAGAAACCTCATTCCAAACACAGCGTACCCGGAGCAGGAGCAATAAAATCCCCCCTTGACTTAATTCAAGGAATTAGCCGGCGTCAATCAAACAATGTTATAGCAGCTCTCTGTGAGCTGTTCTATTCAGAGGATCTGCATCTATTTCTCGAGCCCGAGGCGCCAGCAGCAACTCCTGAAGCACGAGGAGTGATGTCTCCCAGTCCCCATGAAATCTGTTCATGCTACTGCTTTATCTTTATGTTTATGGCAGCTACATCTGCGTCTGCCTGCTTCACTACACTTGTAATCAGAAGATGCACACACACACGCACACACACACACATTTGATCCGTTTGATGCAAAGAACAAGATGTACGCACAACAGAATGTGAAGAAGCATGTACTGCACAGTAAGCTCTGCATACATCCAGCATATGAATTTGCACACATATTTTCACAGAGCTGAAACCTTATTTGTTTCTGAGCTGTGCTTCAAGAGTAACTGTGTTGCCATGCCAACTCTTCCTCTCTCCCTCTCTCTCTTACACACACACACACACACACACACACACACACACACACACACACATATACACACACACTCTCCCTACATCTCCCTGCTATTCTGTTTAACAGGATTCCAATGCAGAGCCGAATACACCAATCAGAATAAAGCTTGTACGAAATTTCTAACCAGCCCCGGCACAGTTAACCATTTGGTGCCCCGGCTGCTCTCCAGGCGTTCGTCCTGCAGAGTGATTGATAATCACCCTCAAAGGAGGAGACAGAGAGGGAGATCTGGTAATTGTTTTCATGCGACTCTTGCTGGTGGGGAAAAATGCTCCTTTTGGGGGCCAAACTTTGAGAATAACGATTAGAAAACACAGCATAAAGGCACAAAGAGAATGATTTTTCACGAGGATAAATGGCTTGATTTTTAATTAAAGTGTATGTCAGAGCAGTGGGTGGTAAACCGGAGGGGAAATGAAACCAGTCAGGGGGCGGATATTGGATTTATAGTGGTTGATAATGCTGACATTTTAAAATACCACACTGATAAATGATTGATGAGCAAGAAGCAGCAGGTGTGTTTGGTCACTGAGCACAAACTAACACTGAACAGGGAATAACAGCCCCATTTGTCAAGGAGAGAGAGGGTTATAGTTATCAGCACAGTGGCCTTTAATGAAAGCTCTTCTTTGAGATGTGTGACTTTGTGAAAGGCAGGTGTAACTAAAAGGGCGGCTTCTCCTGGTTTTCGGGCAAAGTTGGAAAATAAGGTTGAACATGAATTGGGCTGCATAAAATCAGAAAATGTTGCGAGAAAATGAAAGATAACAGTGATAATAACAGCAATATCCAGCATGCTGAAGTTGACAACAGAGTCAGTTTCTCCTGAGAGGAGGATCATTATTTATGTCCCTCACTGACTGACACCACACACCCCTTAGGTGCGCGTCTCCTCTGACTCTCTTCCACATGCACACACTCACCATGCTGTCGTAGTGGATCAGCTCCAGCTCGTAGTCGGGCAGGATGTCGCTCCTGTTGTTAACCAGGTCCAGGGCCATCTGAGCGGAGGGCATGCATGCCTGCCCGCCCGGCCAGCCTCCGCTCATTGGGAACAGAGCTCCGATGTACAGCTTCTTCTTTCCTGCGGACGGCCGAGGCCAGGAGAACAGGAGAAGGACGATGAGAGAAACCCGGAGGAGCATCGCATGATTCCGGGCAGAGCGAGCTACCCGAGGGGGATTTCTGCAAAGTGCCAGCATGGTTCAAGGTGAGCAGAGCTGGAGCCAGTGTTTTTGCCCCTGGTGCTGCAGCGGAGAGAACCTGGACGCAGGTTATTTTATGCGTGAACTGAGCTGCAAGTGAACGCAACACGTGTTTGGGAGCAAGTTTAAATCTTACGTCTACCTTTTGCAGGTATTGCGGAAACAAACTGCTTCGCTTTAATTGCAAGGGTTAAGCGAGTAAATAATTTAGTCGGGATAGAATTGAATACAATGCACGGTTAATTATGCATGGCATGCTTGATATTTTCGGGACAAGAAGTCAAAGACAGGTCAGCCAGTTTTCACTCTGAAGTGATCAAGTGAGGAAGCGACGCTGCTCATCAGTCAAGTTTCAAACGATCCTCCTCGATCCTGCAGTCCAACACGTTCTCGACGCAACTCCTCATATTTGAATACACGAAACTGGCCTCGCTTTCTTTTGGCGATCAATCATGACTATCTGACATGATAGCGCGTTACCAACTCACGACTTTTACGCAAGAGAAGACGCGCGAATTTGACGCCGGAGTCCGCGCAGAATAATACGTCAACCGCGTCAAAAAGCGTGTGGACCGGAGCTGAGGCTAACAGAAATGAGACTGGAGTGTGGAGTGAGAGCTGCAGCATTGAAAATAGCAGGCTACATATTGCCTCCCTGTAACGCAGCGCAGCCCTTATTCCAACAGATGAGACGATTCGCCGCGGAAAAGCAAGAGCGCCAGAGCTCTGCGTCTGATCCACTGCAGCACCGGCAGGCTGAGAGTGTGTGTGTGTGTGTGTGTGTGTGTGTGTGTGTGTGTGTGTGTGTGAGAGAGAGAGAGAGAGAGAGAGAGAGAAGGAGAGAGGGAGAGATAGAGAGCGAGCGCTAGGGTAAGTCTGAAATGTATGCCGAGAGAGAGAGAGGAAGGGACAGATAGAGAGAAAGGGGATGGTTGGAATTGGGGGCTCTGTGCAAAATCTCCCCAAAAGGTTTTCTAATGAGTTACACACTGAGTTTAACTTAAAGAGTGCATCCATTCCACAGGAGTCCTAGTCACCCGCACTGTCACATTTTGTTATTTGCATAAGGCTTCTTCCTACTAACTGCAGCCTCTGACTTGCACTGTTGGCTGGTGCATCCATACGTTTCTGACCAAGGCATCAGAAACAGAACTGAGCTCACGTGGTTAAGAGATTTAACAAACTAGGAAACACAAAAAGAAAGAGGCAGGGTTGTTTTCTCCAGTGTTCTCCAATAAGTATGACAATGCACGTAATTTGCATGAAAAGGTGGTAAAATATGTGGTGGAAATAAGAGTATAAACATCAGTAATAAAGACTTCTTATGGTAGGAAAGAAAACTGATCAAACTAATGTTTGAAGCAATAACTCTATGCCTAAATCTGTTCCACCGTTCTGCATCCTATTACACAATAAATGTTCCATGATTCTTTTAATTTGTTTTTAATTAAGATAACACAACGGCAGCTCTCTTTGTCATGATTCAGTTCCACGAACGATGTCTAACAATATTCAATTTGAACTCAGCGCTGAGTCTAGACATTAATATTGGCTGAAGTGAATCATTTTTAGAGGTTAAGGTTATGTATAACTAATAGTTTTAGGGCTTATCATATTTTTTTCTTAATTTATAATGGAACAGCCTGTCTTGTATTTCTCATATTAAAATGATTCAACTTCAGTGTAATAAAGCGTCACATGAAATCTAATTGAAAACAGTCAAATATATGCATCAATAAGATATTAACTTTCAATGAAGTCAAGCTCTGTTGGAAGATTAGGGAGCCCTATTTCAGTTGCAAAAAAAATAAAATTATTATGTCATTGCCGAATCCATGTAGTTTCCATTTATTGGACTAAACTAATTGCTTTCTGTTGCATCTGGTTATTCTGAGTAGAGAAAAATGCTGCTCGTCTCTTTGGCAGAGCAGCTGGATGAGACTGTGGTAACCAACATGAACAACATACTTGTAGTAAGTGCTCACAGCAATGACTAAAGTAAATAATGCAAAATTAAACATCCTTCCAAATGTTATAAACAAAGCTTGTATGTCAGGTTGTAAATAAATGAATACATGTTGTGGTAAGAGCAAAGCAGTACACGCTGAGTAGAAATATTATTAGAGTCATGCAAGCAGCTGTTAGGCTGCAGTTATACACAGCAGGGATTTGAAAATGACCCTAAGATAAAAAATGCTAACATGCTAACACTGGAAATGTTTAGCTGGTATAAAGTCACATTTATGATCTTACTTACAGGTCCGATGATATCTACTGAATGAAATGATAAAATGACCTTACTACATCATCAGACATTAAGGAAACATGATATGTTGAAGTGCTGGCTTCTTTAACAACAATGCAGCAGCCAGTATTTACTCCTCCTAAATTTAGATTCTGGTGCAGAATGGTTTGTTTTTGATTTGAAAAGAGAAGTAGGTGGGTTTACGGCACCCCCATATGGCCATTTTGCTGTGCACCTTGGTTTGCCAGGCAAATGAATGGCTGTGAAAAAACAGGCGAGTGAACTGGTTCAGGTAGAACTGATTCTCTCAGCTCTACCTGACAGCTCTCTTTAATCTTTTTAATTTGGACTGCAGTACCCATTTCAAACCTAGGTGTCAGAGTTACATATTGCTCATTTAAGTCTGTTGCCCTGCTCACATTTGCTTATCAGCTGTAGACAAAACGAGTGCATTGTTATTTGTTTTGCATTAACTTTTTACAAATCATTCTTAAGAAAAAATGTCTATTACATGTTATAACAAACCAAGAGTTTCAATATTTTACCAACACACATGTGATGCTCAAAGAGGAAATGTCAGGGGATCATAAAGTCAAGAGGATTCCTCCTCGACACCTGACAAAACGTTCAGTTTCTACTAGATCTAGCCTGGTTTTAACCTCACTTTCCTAGAGTCTGTTTGACCTGCAAATCAATAACTCCACACTCACAGGGCCGACACACACACACACACACACACACACACACACTCTGTAACAACCTCTGCTAATCCATAGACCATTTCATATCTACCTCCCCTCCTCGGCCAAGTCTATAAAATGCTACAGAGCCTGCTGCTGAGAAATCAGCAGAAAATGTGGCAGCAGAATCAATCATGGCTGATTTTATTTTCTCTCATTTCAAGAGTGGAAACAGTGAAGTTACTTTTAATACGAGAGAGACTGGGCTCCTGTTTGAACCCTCAGTTAACATCCAGCACTGCCTGTATCTGTCACTCTCACACATAGAGGCATGTGACTATGCACACACACATTCTGACATATTAACATGGGCAAACATTAACACCAGAAACACATAGAATTAAGGTTGTCAAACTTTTTGATGCAGAGGAGAGGGAATGCTGTCTAAATTGCACAAATACGTTGGCAACGTTTCTGTACTGAATCAGGACAGAATTAAGCGATTGGACGCGATTTAGGCTGGCCAATATGACGGAGGTGGATGTAGCGCAAGAGAAAGGAAAATACAGTGAGGCGAAAGGCCAAGCGGATATGGCTCTACAAAACGAGGGTGAACCTTGTGTTGGCTTTTACCAACGCACGCAGTGTTGGACGGCTTTCTGTTGGACATGCAGTTGCTAAACACTGGTGGTCAGCTTGTAATAGCGTGCGGTAGCTTGCTGTGTAGGTTCAAGCAGTAAACATACACACTACGTCCTGCAGTGATTGTGCGCTTTGAATGTTGTACAAGCTGCAAGGAACCATGCTACTGACTCTACATAGAAAATGATCCAATAATGGCTACCTGGGACTTCTATTTTTGTTGCTATTGTATGAAAACCAAGCGGCAATCTCCGGTCTTGAAAAATCAAGCCAATAAGGAAGTGCAAAATCCTGCAGTTCTTTCGAGTGTCCACTTGAGTGCTGGCTGCAGGAACACTGGAAGTCACATACACACAACAGGCAAAAAAGCCGTTTTAACAGCATAAATAAACATGTTAGAAACATAAAATAGGTCTGATTAGTTATTGTCATCACTGGCACACACTGTACGCTGGTGGATTTTTTTTAAACCACTCCATTTTGACTTTATGAACAGATGTGTTATCCATAGTTAGGCGTGTAGCTGACATGATTGACAGGCGGGTGCGATGTAACGGTTTGTTAAGAGGCTTAAAACCCTCCTCAGCTCCAGCTCCCAGACTGCCGATGAGCCTCCAGAACCCCGTGCAGGAACAGATGGCTGACGTCACTCAGGCTTTGTCCATTAATATTTACAGTCTATGTTCGAAACAGGTGTCGATATTGTTTGATTTTTACGAGCATCGTATTGAAGTTATCAAATCTGGTATCGTGACAACCCTTCACAGAATCACACACATAAACCTGGGACCTTCAGAGTCTCATTTATTTCCCCCTCTTGAAGTAACTTTTGATCATTTTGAAAATACATTTGCGAACATTAGTCAATGTCGATTGATCCTTTGAGAAATGTTACAACGAAAGATGAACAGAAAAACAAAAAGTATTGCGGAGGAACTTTTGATGCAGCCTTTTTCGGATGATTAACAACAGCGTCATTCTGTTTTATGCTCATGTTTCTGTGGTTCCTTTGTGAGCGCACTAATTGCAATGTCATGTTAGTGTTAAGATTCCCTTTGCAAAATTACTTATTACAGCAATTGAGAAGAGGACCATTATTTCTCCCGTCTAAATTAAAAACCCTCTGTAGTTAGGCGATGGAATATAACTATTATATAACCCTGGTTCATTACCCAAATCTCATTATGTGGATATCTCCGTGCAGCACAGAGCGATTCAGATCAAGCTGCTAACAAGCCCTCACAGGCTGAGGTGAGTGTAGTGATCATCTGCTGGCATTTGCCTTCCACTTCCACCTCCTCATCCTCGCTGCCACCCCGTGACCCCTCCAACGCACAATCAATTATTCAGCTGTGAACTTTATCTGCTTCCCCCCCCCCCCCTTCCCCACACCTGCTCCACAATCCTGCAGCAAAACACATCAGCACCGGACATTGCAGTGTTAACAACCCCCGTGGAGGCAAACTGGCACATTCAGAGACGACATTAGCTGTGAAAAAAAAAAAAGATGCAATGGAGGCATGAGTGCTGTAACATGTTGCTGAGCTGCTTTAATGAGGGCCTTGTACTGTATATTTGTGTGTGACTGCGCTTTTGCACACTTTGCATCCTTCAGGATAATGGCCTGTTTCTCTCTTGGCAGATGTGTTAGTGGGAAAATACTGTTTTGAATGTTCCCTTTTTAACACATCCACCAGATGACAGTGTCCTCCCCCTGCAGCGCACATTTTTATTCAGGGAGGAACCCAAATCATTGTGAAGAAGCTCGGCCAAAATGCATCTGGTAAAATGAATCAGCGTGTTTCAAATCCCAAGGGGCTGATATTGTGTTGATGTATTTTCTTGCATATAATGCTGACAGTTTAGACCATATTCTTTGTGCAGAGATCACACTATAGTCAGAAAACACATTACAAAGACCTTCCTTTGTGTCTGCTTTACTTTGTTTTTAGTACCAGATGGTCCAAGTGAAAATTAAGCCTTATTAATGCATCACAGGGCCGGTGTTTTTGGATTAATAGGTACATAAAAGTTGGCCGGTGTTGCAGAAAATATAGTTAATCCTGTGACTTTGAAACAGTATCATCATTACTTAATTTGTCCAGCAGCAGCTCACTACACACTATCTTGTTTCCAACACAGCAGCCCAGCAGTTATTAGAGTAATACATCATGCCTGAGTAACAGGGTGGAGGGGAGTTAAGAAGAATAAGTTCATTGTTCAACTGTCTCAGGGCAAGAACTTTGGCGCAACATTTGGTAACCAACAGTGTATAGATATGAAGAGAGTTATGAGATAAGGGGAAGCTTCTGCTGTATCATGTTTAGTTTATGATGATTAAAACATCACTTTTCTCATCATCTCTGAATTCCATTCATTGCTTTGTTCAACGCTCAGATTCACATCCCCATCAGATGAGAAGCGTGAATAAACCACATCCTCCTGATGTGTTTCGGGTATCTGCTGACACAGAGACGAGTATCGATGTATCACCTGTTTTAATTGGCTTAGCTGGTTAATTTATTGGTAATATATGTGTCCGGGGCTGCTGCCATCCGTTGTTGAATTGGCTGAGCTGTTTGCACAGAACAGTACAAAATGGAAAATTCGGCCTTAATTTTAAATTGTTGCCACCTTTTTTAAAAGGATGGATGTTAATGCTTCTCATTTTTAGAGCTTCTTACCATGTTTGTTTTAGTCCTTTGCTATTTGTTTTGCACCAAAACCCTGAGTCAAATTCCTCGTAAGTGAAAATGTACTTTGCACTAAAAAAATATTCTGATTCTAATTTATAAAAATCTTGATCATTTTTGGATAAATGATTGTGCTAATTCTCTTCTGAGATTTTAAATCGATTCATAACTTCTAATAATCGTTTTTTTTTTTATATGCTAATCAGTCACTCCCTGCTAAGTGCTAATGCTAGCTCTTTAGCTCAGTAAAATGCCAAATAGAGCAACAAGAAATTCAGCCAGAAATTCACAGATGACTGGAGTAGATCCTGAAGTATGTAATAATTCATAAATAGACTTTGAATCCATGAATTGTTTTGAATTGAAAAATAGATTCTGAATCGAAAGAATCCTAAGAATCGAAGATTGAATCAAAGTGAGACACCCAAAGATTCCCAGCCCTAGTATGTACTGTAGATATGTTCATTAACACATGTATTCATGGTCATGTTCATAGACTAACAGCTTTGTCAGCTTTTATGTCCGAGTTGTTTTCAGCTCAGTATATATTATATTCACTGGGTCTGTGGTTTGTTATACTGTACATGGAGAAAACAGAAACTCGAAATGCACTCATACCGCTCTCACACACACACACACTGAACACACACACACATTCACATAGGGTAGAGCAGACACAGACAGGAGCAAGGTATTAACCTTTCTCCCGCTGAGGAGGCAGCAAGTGGGTGGTGATGGCACATGGAGAGGAGAGAGAGGGAGAAGAGCCAGAAGGAGGTCAGTATTGTGACAGGAGATGGAATTTTCTATTCGTGGAAACACTGTTCTCTGCTGCTTTGTTAATTGTGTGGTTGTCAAGTCTTTCTGTGACATTTGGAAAGATTTTATCGGCAACTTCATGGGATAACTTACATAAAACTAGAGGTCTATATGGAGAGTTAAGTGTTGCATATCGTGTGTGTGTGTGTGTGTGTGTGTGTGTGTGTGTGTGTGTGTGTTTTGCTTTTGAAAGGCCAGCAGGGTTCTATGTGTAATTCATAGGCGTAACAGTGCAGTGCTTTAAGCCTTCCAAAGATTCTAAGTGCATGATTCAATATCTGTCTAATTTCTAATGTGGTGACATAACAGTGCAAGAGGGTGAGCCATCCTGTAATAGAAACAAATGTATTCATCGTTCCTGCCAGGGTTTACATAAAAATGGAGGTACAAGTAGATGTTTTGACCCTTTATTTTTTTTTTACAGCAAGAGCTGACTTAGCACAATAAATCCTTTTCAAACTGCTGCATTTTCATGTTTTTTTTAACACAGTTCTGATATGCAGGGCCGAAGTACGTAAGCAGAATATTCAACACCTGATTGTATTTATTCCTGCACGCCGACAAACACACAGCTACACTCTCATATATGCTGTTAGCGATCTCCCTTTGTAGTCTTAGAAAACAGCAGGACAATACATACAAAATGGAAATACATCTAAAAAAAAGAATAGAACATTTGCAAATCAGGGGACACCGGTAGCCTAGTGGTTAGTGCGACAACCCATGTACGGGTGCTGTTGCCCTCTAAGTGGGGGACCTGGGGGTCTTTTATGGCAAGTCATCCCCCCCCCTCTCTCTCTCTCTCTCTCGCTCTCCCTGATTTCTGACTCTATCCACTGTCCTATCTCTAAATAAAGGAATACAAAGCCCTCAAACAAAATTTAAACACTTTGCAAATTAAATTAAGCAAGAACACGAGTAAGTTGGAATTGTTAGGTTGAGTTGAAACGCTTCTTTACTAATGATGCTTGGAAGCATTAGTCTCAATCTTGTCTCTCGCTGCATTAACTCTGGAATTCAGGATTTGCTTGATAAATAATGGTTCGTAGATTTAATGAGCTGGTGAGGAACTGTAGGGAAATGCTGCAAGTTCTGTTTGAAAATTAGATGATTCCCCCAAAGAAGCTGATTTTCACAGGTGGCGAAAAGGGGAAGAACGATGACTTTTCTCAGTGTGCTGGACTACTGCTGCCCTCTTGTGGTGACTGTGCACATTGCCCCAGTAGCAGAATTTCATTAAAAAAACATCAGAGATCTCAGTTTGCACAGTCACACTAAGGTACATATAGCCACTAGCTTTAGAAACAGGCACGTTTAATGGCCTCTGTGAAGATAAGAGACTGTTTATGATGTAATTAATCTATGGTGACATTTCATGTGTTATTATTAATGAATGCATGATGATTTAAGGGCTGCACTTTTAAACAGAATACCCTGTAATTCTTTGAAGTTTTTGTCTGGGTGGATATTCTTTGAGGGTTGTAACACAAAGGGAACCTTGCTTCTTGTTGGAGAGTAGTCTTAATTATAACTGTACAACATAACCAACGTTATGTAAGAGGTTCATGTCTAACAACTGTGAGTCAATATGAGCTTGACGCTTGTGTATAAATGTTGCAGTGTAGTATGATGTGCTTAGTTTGCAAATGAAATGTCTTACCTGTGTAGTTTCTGTCATCTTTGGGCAGCAAAAAGAAAGAGGAGAAGAAAGGAGAAGGAACAGCTTGTGAAAAAAAATGTGTCATTGTTCAACATCAGTTGACAGATTCACATGTAGCGTTGAGAGAAATCTCTCCTGTAACCCTTTCAATTCAATAATTCACCTTTATCATGTTTAATTTTGAAGAGTTTTTGGTGCAGTTAAGGCTTAAATCCATGTATATTTTCCTCCACTAGATGGCAGTGTTGCTACGTTAGAGTAGAGACATGCAATGGTGGTTGGATGCTGAGCTGTAATTTTCTGGCAGGAGGTTCCTTACTGAGGAGGATGTTATGTAATCCTGTGATCATGTGCATGCATACCATGAGAGTAGATATAAAAACGATCACATCTCGAATGTTTTGTACAGTGTAGGTATCCTGGAACTTCTTACAGAAACAACAGGAGATTTTGACATTTTCAGAGCGTATAATTCTTGCTTATTTACAAATAGAAGCTAATCATAAAGCCTTTTACACATTTGATTATTACACAATAAGCAGCCTACTTTTGGACGCCTGCTCCAAATGTGCAGATAAATCCCTCTTTTATCCTTTTAATACTACCATTTCCATAGCAACTATACCGGTTATCATGCCAGCTCCTCTGATAAACAGTTGGCAATGTCATTACTTTCAGTTCTTTGTTTCATCTGTGTGTGGTTTTCCTTTAATCCTCTTCTCTTTTTTTTTTGCACTAATTTGGACAAATCCTTTCCGACTGTAAACATGCCAACTGTTGTAACGGAGAACAGGGATATCACACATTTCCACTCACGCTCGCTTGTTATAATCCATTGAGTATTAATGCTGTGTACAGTATACGGTCAGGTTTTACATCGGTCTGTGTTCATCGTTTGTTTTACCTGCCTGAGCCAACAGTGCAGGCGCTCCTCTGTGGATTACACTCTGATTGGATGGATCATTTATCACCTAGCAACCATGCTTCACCGTTGGGACAGCAGGTGTTTGTAATTATCTGTCATCTTTAAAGCCTTATGTCCTCTTTTTTGCGAGCCAGGCTGTAACAGCAACGTGAGCCATGCCCATGAGAAGAGATGGCACAGTGTGTGGCACCTGTTTTATTTGATTACAATACGCTTTTGTGCCAAAAAGTCAGAGATTCAAATTTAATCTAAATTTAAAACTGTTTTTTAATGTACATTCAATTTCCTGCAATTTTCTCAATTAATTTATTGCCTCTCGCCCAATGGCAGCTGATGGGATGGATGAATGGATGGATGGGTAGATGGATGGATGGATGGGTAGATGGATGGATGGATTGATGGACGGATGGATGGATGGATGGGTGGATGGATTGATGGACGGATGGATGGATGGATGGATGGATGGATGGATGGATTGATGGACGGATGGATGGATGGATGGATGGATGGATGGATGGATGGATGGATTGATGGACGGATGGATGGGTGGATGGATGGATGGATGGATGGGTAGATGGATGGATTGATGGATGGGTAGATGGGTGGATGGATGGATGGATGGATGGACGGATGGATGGATGGATGGATGGACGGATGGATGGATGGATGGATTGATGGACGGATGGATGGATGGGTGGATGGATTGATGGACAGATGAATGGGTAGATGGGTGGATGGATGGATGGATGGATGTTATCAGAGGAATAAATTCCTGGATTAATCTAAAATACATATAATTCAAAATAACTGACGTCAAAGAGAAGCATCTCAGATGATGTCTGAGAAGACGGGACCAGAAAATAACATTTTCTTTTATGAATTATTGACTTCAACATATAGCCTTTTCGATTTTAAATATGAGTTCTAATAGTCAATTCATCTATTATTGGAGTCGTTTCAGATCTGACATATTATCAAAAACTACACCATTTTAATATCTTCTTCAATTTTACATTATGAATAAAGTGAGGAAAATATGACCTTCAAACACAATGAAACACTCAACACATTTTGATATTTGATTAGGTTGAAATGTCGTTGCTAGCATACACTTTTACTCACTGCAATGATAATTTAAATGTCATTACCATCTGTGTTAGTTAACCTCCCCTGAGGCAGTAGACGGCATCCAATTTACAAACATAATCTTCTTAATTATATTGTAATTCAAGTGATAATGTGAAATATGTCCTTGTCACACTGACTGAATAAGATACTCACAGAGACAGGTGGGTTTGGGCGCATCCCACTTGCCCAGTTTAGTGCAATGGCTGATGTTTCTGCCCTCCAGGATGAAGCCGGCGTGGCAGCTGTAATGGAGCACCGTCCCCTCCACTGGAGGTCCAGGTGGCTTCACCGACACCCGGCCGTTTTCCAGAGAGGTCCACACCCGTGGACACAGCAGCACTAAGAAAAGAAAGGTAGAGAAATTACTTTAAAAAAGTAGAGTTGAAGTTGCACCACACTTCTGAGCAGCAAATGTGTTAGCTTATAGCTAAGCAAACGTGCTGGCTAGCGAGCTATCTTTGTGTGGCCACTTGGGGGCAGCAGACTAAGCTTCAAACACAACATTTTGATTTTATCAGCACAAAGAGTTGTTATGATTATTGGTTAGCTATCTGTTGCATCTCTACAAGTCACATATAGCGGAGAAACATTAGCATTTGTTTGAAGGTCGTGGGGGGGCAGTAGTAAATTGTTCTGGTGGGCAGCTAAGTTCCCGAGCACTGCCGAGGTATTCTCAGCGAATTAATAAAGTATATCTTCTTCTTCTCACATATTGCACAACAACAGCAACAACACAGCATGAGAGATAAAATAACAAAGGTAAGGAACACCATGACGCTATTGCACAACCCACACAGACTTAGGAAACATTATTCAGAATTTTGACTGACGTGGGTACAACTAGAAGGTGAAATAAGAAGAGTTTTTTAAGCGGTTCAGTCTACATCGGGGGACTCTGTATCGTCTGCCAGAAGGTAGAAGCTCGTACTCAGAGGGGAGGATGTGAGACGGGTCAGACGACACTCTCTGTGCCAGCCTGAGAACAGACTGCTCATAGACTGTAGGGTGCAGCTTTCACAAGTCAAGAAGTGGTGCATAGAAATAATGCAAAAGCAATGAATGACCTCATTTTTAATAATTATATTTATTTTTGATTATATTTCTAATAAATTCTTATAGACTGCAATATAAAAATATAAATACAGGTCTACAATAATGTGCAAAAAGATGTGTACTCAAAAACAACAGCAACAACAACAACAGCAACAATGTGCATGAACTTGAAGTAGATATAAATGTATAAAAGGCACTAACGGGTGAAAAGGATTGTGCTCCAGTGTGTTTTTAAAGTCCATTGTCTTTATATCGTTATAATGATCTCTACAGCCTGCTGTGAATGTTTTGTATACAGGAGTCAACAAACTAATGGGGGGCTTCCACACAGCTGGCACAAAGAGATAATTTGTCCAAAGCTCCGATAAGGTTCACCGCAGGTTCCTGTATCTATCAGCGGCATGTAAAGGAAGTGAGACTGCCATGAGCTCTGTTCCTGTTATCTTTAGACAGTATGTAAAGGTACTAATTCAGTCGTGACATTTCCATCTATAGTTTAAGTTTCAGATCATGAAGACAGAAACGTATTTCTTTGACACTCCATTGCTCCTCTAAAATGTAATTATGTAGAATGACCAACTGAAACATGGAAATCTACATTGTATTGAAGGTGTACACTATGGGCAACATCTGCCGGCCACTAACAAAAAAGAAAAATAATACGATGCACCATTATTTTTGTGTGACTAATTATGCATGATAAGTAAACGTACAATATGTAGAATGTTTGCATTAAAATATCAAAATTAATTTAATAAATTACTAAACTTTTGTTATATATGTAATATTTTCTTGAGTTCTTACATTACCTCAAATATTTCCAACAGTTTATCAAAACCAGAGAAATCCGTAATTTTTTAAGTTGTAACAGGACGCCATGACAGACCCAACATGTTTATCGTTGCCGTTGAAACATCGGATGTTACATCAAAGACTGCTATATAAGGAAGCAGGAACTGCTACTGAAAGCTGTCGTATTGTTGCCGTTTGTGCTGCTGTGATAAATAACATCATGTCAATTATATTTGGATACAGCGTCGGTAAACATTTTCTCTTCCTCAGGTCGGTTTCGCCCCGTTCTTCTTAACTACGGTCGACACAGAGTTTGTTTTTATCGGGGTTTGGGGGGGGGGGGGGGTTGAGTAGCAGAGAGAACTCCCGTGATTCCTCGTCAGCCTCAACGCATCTTTTGTCATTGTATTGATTGAGAGCCCCCTGCTGATGGGATTTACATACTGTGACTTTAAGAGAGCATTTATTACCTTGTACATCACACTGGTCATGTCCAAAATGACATATGAATAGTGGTAAAACACTTGTAACTACAGGATAATGACACTAAGACACCTATGCCACTAGCTCTAACACCACTTTGTGCAATTTACACTTTTAGCACTTTTCAATGATGTGCAACACAAGAGCACTTTAACTCCTGCTGGCTCAGCACCTTCACAGTCACTTTATTCCTGGTGTGTTTTGAGCAAAGCTGCAAAGCCACCCTACGTTTTGTTATATGTATGTCTTTGTCAACTAATGTAATGTAGATGTTTGGTTTCTGCTTGTTGTTCTAATAGCTGACTGTGTTTTGTGAGGTTCTATGTAAATTTGCCAAAGTGTCTAACTTTGACCTGTTGGGGGACCACAGATTAGGCAGAGCCATTTTAAGTTTAATGCCGACAAAAGCATGATAACACGCTATCAGTGACACTGCTTACATGCATTATCTTCACAGTGTTATTTTTGAACATGTTTATTGTCTTAGTTGTAGCTGCATGCTAACGCCGGCTGTGAAAGACAGCCGAGGTTGACAAGAACGTGGTTACATTTATTTTTTTATTCTTGTCATACCACTTAGATCAAATTTATGTACAATCAAAAACTTCAGCCTCAGTCACAAAGGAAACTGGTTAAAAAGCTTCCTGTTTTTCAAAAAGTCCTCTCTCCTCTAACTACTGCTGCGCTTGACTTTGGTGTCTTATAATATTCAGACCTTCTCACAGGCTTCAAATGAACGGATAATGTTAAACAATCATGTTTCTTAAACTTTAAGCCAGCAGTTAAACAGGATGCAAATGAGCAGCAAGGTAAATATTTGTGACAACACAGAAGCTGAGAAGAACTACTTCCACGTCTTGAGGTGGTGTTCCTCTGGGAAATGTTTGCAGAGGTGCAGAATATTTAATTATCTTTCTAGTCATGCTTTATGTGATTGTAGTGCATCTATACACAATCAAAATAAATACTGAGACGTTCAAACTCTCAAAATGTGTGAGGGGCGAAGTTATCCAGATGGAGATTCTCTGAAGGTCATATATAACCCGACAGAAATGGAAGAGAATGAACCGTAGTGTTTCAGATTGGGGCTGATATGACTGACTGTGGGGGGACTGGCTCTTTTATGCATCAACGATTGCTCAATGTGGAGATTTATATGCAAAATATTGGATATAAATAATAACCCATTATATCCAACAATGGGTCTACTGGGAGGAAAGATAGAGGGAATAACAGTAAACGACCAAACCCTTTTTTGAAAGTTTAAATTGTTCAAAGTTTGTTTAAGGGTACGAAAAAACAGGCTCAGTTTACAAAACCTGAGGGCCCCAGCCTAGTGGTTAGTACGCACGCCCCATGTACAGAGGCTGTAGATCTTAAAGAGGACGGTCCGGATTTGAACCCAGCCTGTGGATCCTTTCCTGCGTGTCGTTCCCCACTCTCTCTCACTCTTAATCTCTCCAGTTTCTGACTCTATTCACTGTCCTATCTCTATAATGAAGGAATAAAAAGCCAAAAAATAAAGATTGCCTGATTGGATTAGCTTTTCTATCTGAGAAACTGACAATACGTATTAATTGGAAGGTGAAGACGGCAAACTTTCTGGAGACGGACGACTTGCTCAAACATTATTTGGAACTGGTATCCATGGAGCACGCAGCATCAGTTCTTGAAGATCGGCGGTATACTGTTGGTTGTTTATCACCCCGAACAGAGTTATAATAATATATAGGTTTTATGTAGCGCTTTCCTGAAAACTCAAAGACGCTTTGACAAAAACATAAAACAATAAAACAAAACAAAAAAACAAAAGAAGTAATGTAGGGGGAGGGGGGAGTTAGTGGTTGTAGGCAGTGATGAAGAGGTGAGTTTTGAGGGATTTCTTGAAGGAGGTGAGTGTGGGGGAGTCTCGGATGTTATGCAGCAATGGAGAAGGCCCTGTCCCCCAAGGACCGATAGTTTGTCCTGGGAGTATGCCGGTGGAGGAGTTCAGACAGGTAGGGGGGCTTTGTAGGTGAGGATGAGGAGCTTGAAGTTGATACACTGGGGGATGGAGAGTCAGTGGAGGTCATGAAGAACAGGGGTTATGTGGTCTCTGGTGCGGGAGTGTGTGAGGAGACGAGCAGCGGAGTTCTGGATGTATTGGAGTTTCTTGAGTGAGTGTGATGGTGATCCACAGAGGAGACCGTTGCAGTAGTCTAATCTGGAGGTAATGAATGCGTGGGTGAGGGTCTCGGCAGCTGAAAATGAGAGGGATGGGCGGAGGCGGGCGATGTCTCTGAGGTGGAAAAGGGCTGTTTTGGTGATGTGTTTGATGTGTTTGTCATAGGAGAGGGTTTGGTCGAAGATGACACCAAGGTTACGGATGTAGGGGGAAGGGAGCACTGTAGAGTTGTGTTTAAGTATACCCATTTGATATCCTTACTTCAACCAAAACGTACCTACTACATGTGTATACACACGTTTTACCTTTTCTCTGTACATGCATTTAGAAATCAGCCCCCTCGTCTCCCCGTCTGAAGCCTTGTCCTGTTAAAGGTGGCTGAGCCTCTGACCTGATCGTCGACCAGGCAGGTCCCCAGTGCCGCCTCACAGAACCAGACTGTCACCGATGTTGATCTGTTTTTTTTTTATGTTGTTGCTTTGTTTGTGGCCGCCCTAGTTTTTGATGTTAGCTTGCTAAGCTACAGCCTCCATATAACTTAACTTTGTTCTCCTGGTTGGATTTCCCGACAAAATGGCCCAGCTCTGAATGTAATTGGGTTAGCTGCCGAGTTCGTTGAATCTTCCTCCCAGCATGCGAGCACATAATAAAACTGCAATCTGCACATTGCAGCTTGCGACGTTACATAAGCCAGAGAAAACAAAAAAAAACGTTCTCTTGGGGAAAAAATAACAAATTCCACTGATGTTAAATGTGAACTGAAAGACTGAAAGCAGAGATATCAAAGGGATTTGATTGGATTGCTGGCCTTAGTGTTTGCTCAGTGATTGCAGAAGCATTGTAGGTGTCGTCTGAGGAGAAAGGACATGAACGCCTCACTGAGGATATGTTGGTGTGCAGGCATGTACGCATAAAGAATTACACTCTTAACATGTGTAGAAGCAGCAGAACAATTAAAAAGCTGTCAGGATGAAAATGTATAACAGACCACATATTAAACACAGATATTCGATTAACACATATGGAAGCTGTGCAAGCTTGCTACTTTATTCTTACACAATAATCACAATGTAATCAGTCCAAAGCAATAAGCAGCAAGCAGCAGCCAAAATTATCCTCTGTGGGGGTGTCACAGATAAGTTCACATTTACATTTATTTATTTATTTATTTTATTTTAAGCCCACAGCGCACACACGCACCTCAGAAAACACAGACTAATGCGATTATTCGTAATTAACTGGATACAGCAAAATAACAAAGCTATGTTTAGTGAGAGTAATCACGAGCTCTGGATAACCTTTAAAAATGATCCCAGCTCAACTACGGATGTGTTTTTCTTTCTAATTCTTTTTTTACTTGCCCAGGAATATTCCCGTCGAGGTACAATATGTCGTTTACAACGGAGGGACAGCAGCATAAATAGTTCCACACAAAAAGAGCAGACGGTCGACTAGAACAAGCAGGAATGACGTCATCGATAATCAAGCAGCGTTCAAAATCACTTTCTAGCTTTTTATAAAACTTTTTTAAAAAGCAGCCTTCATAATGATATGGATCAGGGGTCGCCATGTGAAAACTCAATCATAAGAAGGACGGGGATTTTAACCCTTATCATTATCCCATTTAGACCTGATGCGATGTCTGAGTGTATATACCTTTAAGACCTGATGTGATGTTGGGAATATGTGCAGTTTTGAAGGTTTTGGGAGATTGTTTTCAACCATTACTCAGGTTTTAGAGGGTGGTTTTTTTAGACGGCCTTAGGTCTAATTCAAGGATGGTCTTTGCGGTTAGATGTAGTACTAGCTGTCATTGGGTGAATCTAAATAAACGACTTTGAGACTTTTCCTGCTCCACATCTGTTACTTACAAGAATCATGAATCAAGAATGTTTAGGGATTATGTGTTGTAACACAAACGATCCCAAAGGTCAAGAATTTCCATCCGACTGAATTGAAAGTGGATTAAAGTGGATTTGTCAATTATTTCAACATAACAACGCCCCTTAAATTAAGGATATTTTTCTTTACTCCTTCACAATTTCCCTTCTAATTTTAATTCAACATACATTATTTAAAGTGACAAAATTGGATATTTTTATAAAAATGTACAAACGATTTCATAATTACAAATGGGTCACTCATTCTGTTTATCCAACGAGAACGATCCGCAGCTCCCCGCGGCTTTATAAAGCTTTATAGAGAATTTTCAGCTCATGGATTAGCTCAAAATTTGCCAAAAACCATGCTGTAGTTGTTTATTCTAAATCAGAGACTGTATAAAACTTGGACGCAGTCTCAGTGATGTCACCTATTGGTTTCCGAAGAGATGTTTGGTAGCTGAACGATGGCAGTTGCCATATTGGAAATGATGTCATCACCTAACTTTTGATTAACTTAGAGGCAGGTAAATTATGCATAACTTTTAAAAGGATGAGTTAAAAAATAAATTCACCCGCTATACAGTATACAGAATCAGTTATTGAAACCATAATATAACTTTCAGTCGACTGAAAACATATTTATTTCAGATGATAAAAATGAACATGGGTGTCATCAATGGAGCCAGCCTCAAGTGGACACTCAAGGATTTTGCCCTTCCACATTCGCTTCATGTTTCACTTCCTGTGGTTGCTGCTTACTCTTAATGCTATTTTAATGTTCTTTTCAGTCACAGTTTACAATGAAAAAGCTGGAGGAAAACATCCACTGTACACTTCCAGCTCATCAGCACCAAAAAGTAGACAAACACAAAAAGCAACAAGCTGATGAAAGAGAAGCATTACAGAGAAGATACTTAGATTCTTTAAATAATGGCTAAAAACACAACTCAAATGTTTTGCTTTATAACTGCTGGATGTGTAAAAATCTGACTGTTTGCTAACAATTTTTCCTTATGGACTTAATAGTGATAATGTGTCACATTTCTTGTTCTTATTAGCATGGACAGATACATTAATCACAGGTTTAAATCTGATGGGAGGTAAAAGCCTGTAGATTGATTTCATGCAGCCTCTATTGAGGATTACATCACTTTTCTTAACTGTGGATTTTCACATTAGTACTGTAGTGGATAAAAAATGACTCCAATCCGATTTCTTCAAAAAGTGCGAGTGAAGGTTGCACAGAATTTCACACTTTCCTTCTGTGTATAGTGTAAGCAGGGACAGCAGTAATGTGCCGGCAACACAGTTTAATTTTATTATCTTTGGTCTTTTTTGTGATGTTGATCAAACAAACAGGACTTTTGAAAGCTGAAGATCTTTTTCTGGGACATTTGTTTTCAAATGAAAGAAGGTTGGAGGACAGGTTAAAGAGAGGGTGAAATATAGACCACAAAGAACTTACAACATCTGCTGTGCAGTGTGATGTCCGTCCATGTGCCGTCGGGTAAGCACTTCCTGACCTTGGGTCCCACGATCACCCGGTTTCCTCTGCAGATGTACTCGATCTCATAGTCCACGGGCAGGATCTGCACACTGCGGATCTGTGAGGGACACACAGACACAGAGATCGTAATTAAAACATGATTGATGTTTTTTAGTATTCCTCACTCACACAGGAACCCCCCCCTCCCTCGTTGTGTCCCAGAGCGATGGACTCTGGTGACATATGGCGGTAAAAATGAAGCTCTGCTAGGAAGAGCATTTTATGGGAATACTGTATGAATTGATGGGCTGTCACACTCTGGATCATACCAGGAGGAGAATCTGGTCCCGGCTTTATGTTCCTGTTTCATGTTTTATTGTGTGTGTGGTCGAAGTGTATGCGTGTTTTACTCATTTAGCAATACATCCAAAGTGGTGCAATCAGATATCAATCATTTCTATGTCTCAGGTGAAGAGGTTTTTTGTCCTTCTTGGACTATAAAACAGCATCAGGCATTCTTCTAATTTTAGTCTTGCTGCAGTATGAAATTGATATCAGTCTTTTGGGCTTTAAAGTCCCATTTCTCTCTTGTTACTTCACTTGGATGTGTGACATGTGACATTTAGTGTGCAGAACGATGCAGTAGAAACAAACTGTAAACCCCCTTCAGTGCACAAACACAGAGGACGGATGTTGTACCCAGCAGTTAAACTTTTGAAATAAACAAAATTTACATATGCAAAGCTTCTGGATTTCTCAACCAGGGAGAAGGAGAATTTCAAACTCGATAAAGCCTCTGTGAGTACAAACAGTGCAAACAATGTTCACACCCATCAAGCTTTATTTTAAATTCTAATGAAGACCACACATTATTCAGAGACAGAAATATTCCAGGCTACATTTTTGGGGGGGGAATGTGAGAAGAATCACCCACGAGATGAAATTATAATTTCCATTAGATGTATAGATTTTACTTACATTAGACTAGACCACACAGAAGCATTTACCACATTTAAAACTATTTAAGAAAAAGCAAAGGGGGACCCTGAGTTTGAAGACTTTGACAAATAAATCTAAACTCAAGATCAGCTTCTTCTTGTTTTCCTGTCACTGTATCCCATGTTCTTCATCAGTAAATATAAACATGAGTTAATTACTGATGATTGTTTGGGGTTTTTTTTGTCATAATTTGAAAGGACAGACAAAGAGAGACAGGACATGTATGGAGAGAGAATGGGAGATGACCATAGTCATCTCCCATTGGGAGACTGAGACGGAGACTGGAAATATTAAGGACAAATTCTGAGTGACCCATCTGTTACTGCAGGGGGCTTTGGAGTCTCATCGGTGGCAGCCGCCATGATGGAAATGCTGTCTCAGCCTAACTTTAAGATAAGCTAACGATAGGCTAAGAGCTGGAGCTGGTTTTAAGCCTCCTGACAAACCGTTCCATCGTGCCCACCTGTCGATCAGATCAGCCTCGCATCTAACTATGCATAACTCGTATCGTTCATAAAATCTAAAAGTAGCCGTTTTTCAAAAATGCAAAATGCATGAGTGTGAGCCCATGAGGACAATAACTAATCAGACCTATATCATCTTTTGTACCAGGGAGTAAACATGTTAATCTTTGCTGTTAAAACTTACATTTTTGAATGTGGTGTTTATGTGACTTTTAGGCAGTGGCGACCCCAGGCAAAAATGCATCGAGGGCCCATCAAAACAGCGTTCATCATCTTGTCTGCCAGTGTCCCGATGCTTCTTCCTCTTTCTTTCTTTTTTCACTTTTTCACAGAATTAAAGCATGCAACACTTAGCAGAGCAATGGCAGTGAGTGCTGTCAGATGGGGGGAGGGGGCTTAGGGAGGATTCGTACTGTCACAAAGTCGGTTCAAAGTTGGTTCAAAGTCGGTTAGCCCACAGGGGGCCCCCTACTGGCCTCGGGACCCAAGCAGTTGCCTGCCTTGCCTATTGACCAGTGGCGCCTCTGCTTTTAGGGCTCTTGAAAACCAGCCTCAAGCAGACACCCGACGTGCACCAAATAACGTCGGGGTCTGCATTAGATCCTGAGACCAGTATGACAAGGTAGCCTCTGCACATGGAGGGCATGCACTTCCAACTAACCTAAACCAGCACCCCTTTGACTAAAGATTTTCAGAATTAATGAAGCTCATGCCAATATATTCTGATTTATACTGTCTAATATGGGTCAAGGCAAAAAAAAACTCTGGAGCCTACATTTCCCATGATGTAACTCCATATTGTCCTTTCATTAGACCATCCCTGCCTTGTGAAACAGCTACTAATTTCCCTGCACACTCATTTAATTAGTGATCTGTATTCATGCCTGCTCTTATCAGAGTCTCCTGTCTCGCTGGTAAGCCTCTGGTGTTTTTAGATTAAATCCGACATGTCTGCTTTATTGAACCGTTCGCAGCTGAATAAGACGAAGACAGACCAGAGGGACAGCTGGATGTCATGTGACAAAGGTCAAAGGTTGCAGCTGATCCTGGAAGATGGCCCTGGTAAAAACATGAGCCAACAGACCAGCAGATTGCCTTGTAGGAACGGACTGTGTGCAAGCTTGTAACCTGATGTCCCTTTAAATAACACAACAGGAATATATTGGGAAATAATTTAATTACTTGTGGAGAGTAAGACCACACGTTGTCAGGTTAAAGCCCCTGTGAGGGTTTTTTAACTGGCTATGAAACAGACTGAAATTAAGATTGAAGCTTTTTTTTTACATATGAAAGCAAACAGGAATATCAGGGACAAGACTGACTGTTTCTTTATAGTAACATTTTAATGTCTGTAACTGCTGCCGTCGGGTAGGTGTGTAGAAGTAATTAACAGCATGCTAAAGGAACACATCAATTGCTGTTGTTGTTGTTGTTGTTGTTGATTTTTAGCAAATATTCACAGTGAGTGATATGTTTGAATGTTAAAAGAAAGCAGGATGAGATTTTTGACAAAAACTGCTTCATGCTGGGGCACTGATTAGCAGTTTGGACGAACCCCATGAACGGAGACTATAGTCCTCCAATACCGGGTTCAAGTTTGAACTACGGCTCCTTTCCCGCATGTCATTCCACACCCTCTCTCCCAGATTCCCTACTTTATGCACTGTGCTATGCAGTAAAGCATGGGTTCACAGGGGGTCTAGATTAGATTTGCTCGTATTAATTAAAATCATGATAACACACTAACTGGATGGTTTATACAAAGGTAGTTGAGCTAGAACAGGTGTCTTTAAATCTAATCTGTTGGGATTTAAATTGTTGTACATTTTTGACAGCAATATATAACTTTTTTTGTATGGTCCAGCCCAACAAGAAAGTCTAGAAAAGAAAACAAAAGCGATAAGAAACTTTGTCTCGTTTCAGGGGAAACCAAAATCCACACAAATAAGTTTCCTTACATGAGCTTTAAAAGGAGGCTACATGAACTACAGTTAGCTTAGCTTAGCATAGAGACTAGAAACAATAGACTGATAGCCTTGTGCGGTCTAATGGTAGCAACATCTGTGGAGTAGCTCCTCTAAAAGTAGCTAAATAACACATAGTGTATCCTGAAGAAAATCTGAAGCTTAAAAGTCAAAGTGGTGTGTTATACTGGCTGAAGATGCAATGTGCATACCGCACAAATGCAATCTGATGGTGTAATTATAATGTCAGCTGATACTGTGACAGCTTAACAACTTTTGTCACTACTGAATTTTCCCAGACTGGCATGTTTTATATTTTAAATTCAGTGAGAACAACGTTCAATCAGAGTGAGCTGTAATCTCAAAGCAAACTGAAGTTGAATGTGCTTGATTTAAAGATTGAATTCTGTTATTTAGATTACTTCTCAGTCAACCAACTCTTCATACCTGTTCTTGTGTCAGACCTCTGTAGCGGATCCCTCCATCCCTGGGAGGCCGGATGATTGCACAGCCTGTAAAAAAAAAAAAAAAAGAGGAGGAAGAAGAATGAAGGAAGAAGGACGACAGGAACAGATGGGGAAAGCTCTCCTTCCAAACAGTGACGATATATTACAGCTACATGTTATATTGTCAGTATAACTGATGCCTTTCCTACTGCACATTTGATAGTTCTTCATTTAGGTCACTTAGTAATCGTTGCAGAGATATGTTTGTCCATTAATGCATTTTTATATAAATACACACACACAGGAAACACACTGACAGATTCATGCAGAGTCACACACACACACGAATTACCTCCAGTTGATGAATTATGTATGGGCACAACAGGAGATGGAAGAGCATAGAGAACAATCAGAAACAATAGCCGTGCCATCTCTGGATCTGTAAGAAAAGGAAGAGAGAGGTAAAATGGTTATAAGTGGCAAGGAGGGTGAAGGCTTTGGGAAATACAGAGTCGGAAACAAGAAACTAAAAAGAAAGGGTTACTGAGAATAGTTTCAACAGTAATAAAGCTACATGCTCAGTCTTCAGATTCAGCCATTTTCGGTCCACTGCTGCCTGTCCTAAAAGGGATGCATCAACTTTTTGGCACAAAAGCTTCCTTTTTCAGCTTGCCCGACTGCGCACGGAAAGCACGAGCTGCAAGATGAGTCCACTTTTCTCCCTCTGCCTCGTTTTGTATTTACAGTGCAGACAGCCCGTGCTCAGTTGATAGCCAGCTTGGCTTCATTTCAAAGACCCTGTGTACACGGTTTCAGCCAGGGTTTTTTGATGGCTGATACTGATATTTTTCACAAAGTGGCTGCCCATGGAATCATTTCACACCGAGGCACCACTGAATAGAGTTCTTTTCATGTCAGGGTAGAATAGCACCTGGGGCAGCTTGAAGTCTATGTTAAAAAAAACTCTCCTTTTGCACATCAGAAAGTATCGTGACAGCTTTTTGAAGGCAAAATAAACCACCCCACATTATTATTGGCAAGGAAACTCTCAGGCAAATTAAAATAGGAGGATACAGATTTAGCAATGCACTCCTGTAACCTTCTCTGCCTCGTGATGGAAACCTTTATAATCACAACTGATTCATGAAAATCATCTTTTTAAATCCATGCATTGTATTTCTTTGTCAAAACCTACTGCAGCTTAAAGTACCCACAATTCAACGACCTGGAGCTAACTCAGAGTTATGGATGTGTAATGCAAGAAGCACTTAACGTTGCCTGAAGCTGCTGGCCTCAAACAGAGGAGTGTGCAACAAAGGCCAACTGATGCTGACTCAGGAGGCCTCACTTCAGCCAGCATATTAAACTTCAAGCAGCTTGTATATGTGAGGTGGAAGTAGCCCCTTGCTTTGGAAAAGTGAAGACAGTGTTGAAATATTCTTTCATACGACCAGCAGGGGGTGACTAGCCTGGTTGCAAAAAGAAGTCTTATTGAAAAGAAGCAGATGAGAAAATAAACCTACTTCTACGTTTATTTATCTGACAGTTAAAGGCAGAGTCGGTAGCTTTTTTCCTAAAAATAAAATATAGACTTTACAAAAGTAATGCTGCCCAATCATCACTTACCGGCCTCCATACATGTGTGGTGGTGACTGTGTCTGCAGAGTCCTCTGCCTTGATTTTGATGTTTTGTAGTTTTGGTTGATTGGCAACGTTTCTGGGTGGGGAGTGGGTGTATTTCCACCAGCCAGTGAGAGCACGCAGCTGAGTTTAGGAGTGAATACAGTCCATCAATTGGACACAAAATTCCAAGCATAAAGCTTGTTCCAAAACAAGGTTTAACCTTTGGTCAGTTTTCACCCGTGGACCCGGAGTTGGCCTGCTTTCTGTTGGACAGGCAGGTGCTAAACACCAGTAGTTAGCTTGTGCTAGCATGCTCAATTATCGGCTTTTCCTTTAAAACAAATGTTATAGACATAGTCTCAGGTATCTCTCAGTGTAGCTAAAGGCAGTAAACGTTAACGCAAAGTCCTGCAGTAGGTGTGCACTTCTGGTGGCGATGGGCCCAGTTTGAATGTTGTGTTTACAATCTGCGATGTTTGTACTGACTCTACCTTTAACTTTTTCCTAACTTCAGGTCTTCTTCAAAACAGCATGATGTTATTTTGTGCACTATGTAACTATTGTACATTATGGCTTCATATAAAGAGAGACTGACTATAAAGCAGGGCTGATTTCCTGTTAGAGACGGAGCAATGCGATACCCCTTTATCCGTATAGAACATAGATGTAGTCTCAGTAACATCATGGAGGCCACCATAATAGAAATACTGACTCCACCTAACTTTTGATCGGTCAAGCAGCAGGCAGAGAGGATGAGTTGAGGCAAGCCTAAAGCCTCCTGGCAAGATGTTAGAACATAGCCCACCTGTCAGTCAACTCAGCCACGCCCCTAATTATGCAAATGCTTAGAAACAATCTTATACTTAGGTAAGCAACAACTTAACCTTACTATTATCAGAATGGATCAGTTACAATGAAATTCAGCGCCTGTATAGTGTGTATAAGTAAAGAAAGAAGAATAATTTTTTTGTACTAAACTCTTAACATGATTATTTATGGGACGCTGGTAGTGCGTGTGGCCTATGTACGAAGGCTGTAGACCCCTAAAAGGTTCAAATCTGACCTGTGCCTCCTTTCCCTGCATGTCATTCCCCACACTCTCCCTCCCTGATTTTTTACTCTATCCACTGTCTCTAAATAAAGGCAGAAAAGGCCCAAAAATAAATCTTTAAAAAATAATTGTTATAAATCGCTTCATTCGTGAAATACAAAGTAAGATGCCATGCATACAAGTTTCTAGCCATTGGCTAATTTGTAACCCCTGGTTAAGCTTTTAGGATAACAACTGAAGCATTAGACTTAAAGAAAAACAGAAATAGTGATACAAATACAGACATTTTAAACTCAATAAATAAGATACTTCTTAAGAACAAACAGTAAAATGAGGATTACAAGAGGAAACATATTTGTGTTTTAAAAACATCAAACCTTTTTTCATTTCAGTGATGTGTGTCCCAGAGGTGTGTTAGGCCTTACTGAGAAGGCTGACTGGCCAAATTCTGCGTATTTTAATATGACACCTGATGGGTATTCTTTGTTTTTTTGGAGCCAGCCCTCAAGGTATAACTCGAGAAACTGCAGTTTTGTTTTTTTGCACTTCTGCCTTTGCTTCATTTCTCAACCTTGAAGGTTGCTGCTTTGAAATGCTCTGTTATCCAAACATGTTCAGCTCCAACTCCAAAAACAAACAAACAAGATGGACAGCCAAAATATCTAACTTTAGGCTTCAAATCAGAAGTCCACAAACCGGTGGATCACGTAACAGTGGCTAGGTCTACTTCTTAAAAAGAGTATCTGGAAACAAACACTGAATACAAGTGTATATCCAGCAGTACTCTGTTTGTAAGAAGAGTTACAAAAAGAGTCAACCTTTAAATTAAGGGTGAATGACAAATCAATCCAAGAATAATATCTGTCACATCAGCAAATAACAGACAGAGCAAACTGTTACAGTAACTTGTAGAAGGGTTGATCTAGTTTGAAGCACATCAAGCAAAGCCAATTTTTGTTTTCCATCCCAAAAAATGAATTTGTTTCATATGGCTAACAGTAAGCATACGACATTGTCTTTCCATTGACCCTAGATATTAAAAACTCACGTAAATTACCCTTAAGGAGGCGGGGGGGGGGGGGGTCGAAGTAGCTTCTGGGGGAGCAGTAGTCGTGTGAAGGGAGAGCACAGTCTTACAAAAAGTACAAATTATGGCAGATACATGTATCTTGTGAAACCTAACCCATCCTAAACCTCATGTGCAGATTTCACAAGACCAGAGAGAGCGTTGCTCAGCGAACCAGTAAAACCTCTTAAGACCCCTGAGTCCTGTAAGCCACAGTGCCTGGAGTACGGGTGTGAGGGGAAACACAAACACACAGACAAACACGACTCCCGTTATCAATGATAAACACTCTATATATAGCTGCTCATTTGCAGTTTTTAATAATAAATGTTGCTTTATGAGGCTTTCACACATGCAAAAACATAAACAGACCGATACACTCACACTTAACAAGGGTAGAGGGGGGGGAGGTGAAATGGGTGGGGGTTGGAGGGGGCTGGGGGCATTACAAAGCAAAGATCTACAGTGAGGGAGACAGATGGTAGCAAGGCTCGCTTGTGGAAGACAGACAAACTCTGCTGGATACTTCATTAGCATTATCCAGTGTATTTATAGAGTTCACTGACAAGAAGCATGCAGGAGGTAGACACCACCAGAGAGTGTGTACTATGTGTGTGTGTGTGTGTGCATTGGTGTAGGTGTGTGTGTTGGCAGTGTACAGTGTGTGCTTTTGTCCTGCATGTGTGGGAAGGAAGGAGGGAGGGGAGAGAAGAGGGGAAGAAAGGACGGCCCAGCAGGATTCATTAATATCAGTGCTCACACACTGAGCTGGATAAAAGAAAAATACGTGAGTGAGTGTAGCACAGATGAGGCAGCCTGAGCAGCAGTGGGGGGGGGGGGGGAACCTGCTAACACCACCAGCTATGAGGCTGCAGTAGCACTGAGCAGAGGGAAGAGGGTCTGTAAAACTACAGTATAGCCTCAAGCTTCAAACCCAATTAAGGCGCCAGCGCCTCAGCGGCTCCAAAAACATTGCAACACCTTCCTCCAAAAACACCTACAGCCCATCTAATTTCACTTGCACCTTTGATGCCACTCCTGCACAGGCACTGCCTACTTCCTTGTGTGCTTGTAATGACCGGAAGCTGCAAAGGAAAGGGTCCATTACAGCCGCAAACACAGCTCACACTTCACATTGAGATGCATGTAGTGGCTATTTTTAAGCAGGGGACAGGTCCACAGGAGGGGGGTGGGAGGGGTGGGGTGTGTGCACACAGACTCAGATGCTGTATTTTGTGCATGGTTAAGCATGAACTATTGAGATGTGAGGGTCACAGTAAGGGTGCCACCAACCGTATGCTGCCGGTAGTTACTTGTCGGCTGTTGACAAGGGAATCCGTGATGGCCTGTGGAGGAAGGCCGACCATGTTAACAAGCACGTATAGCCCACATATGCATGGCTCTCTACAACTAGCGTCCAGAATAACATGACATCTGCGTACACCGGCTGAATGTTGCTTCAAGGAAAGATGTGAAATGTGTTATGTCAACCTCTTTATTTCCAAGGCGTAAAAAGATGTAGACAGGATGGTGGTGGTGGTTTTCTTGCAAGAAGGAACTCGTTCCAAATCTGGCCTGTGCTTATCGAAAATAAATGGCATTCGCATACAAAATGATGAACGATTTTAGCGGTATGTTCAGATCATCTGCATGGGGAATTTAGTCTTTTCTGGATACATATGGTCTAGTATATCGCCCTACAGTAACAGTAGCATGTAGCCCCCCTGAAGCAAAGCTGTAGCATGTGTACTTACTATTACTTTCGATGAGCCCAGTCAAGATAACAGTGCGTCCTCCGGATGGGAAAGCCCTGGGTCGGATTATTTGGTAAAAATATGCATCTTTGCAACGATTCTTTTATGGCTGTAATTATATGGCTATAAAGGTGCAAGCTGCTCCGTTCGTAAACAGGCTGTTAGAAAAACAAAAACGTATCTTATTCCGATCCCCTCCGTGTATTGCAATTACGCATGGCAAAGGTAAGAAATGGCAAAAATCCATACAAAAAAACATACATGCACTATATACAAACGCATCCCCATACACGACGAAACACCGATTCACCACACTCCCCTCCTTTTTTTCCTCTCTCCCTCTACGATCTTGAGCTAATTCACGACGTCATGATGGAGACGCACTGTGCGTAACAGTCCCTCTCTCACGCATTATCTCCTCTTTTTTTTTTTTTTTTTCCCTTCTTTCCTACCCCTCCCTCAAATATGAAACACGTTGAGGTCCAGGACCACAGAAGCAAAATATCATAATGATTCTCACGAGGAGGATTTGGGTTTCAGATAAGCTTGCGGGTTTATCCTCCTGTGAATGATTATAGCACGGATGGAGGTGCAGATATGGCGCTGTGGTATTAACAGTCACTACTACTTTGTTAAGCCTTTTTTTTCCTAAGCTCTGTGGAGTTAAGTCAATGAAGCTGCAGTCTGTTATTTCTACAACACTGGTCATCTATTAAATCAGAGCGTGTGGACTCCTTGCTCTCCTCCTTTCTAAGTCACCCACCAGCTCTGCTCCTCTTCTGCCATCTATTCTGAGATCAGCATCCTCCTTCATATTTATACATCTGCTGAATAATTGAAAGGAAGGCTGGGGAAGACATAACCTCTCTCTGTCTGTCGCTCATCATCTCTTCATGTATCTGTAAAACAGGCCTCATCCTGTCCTTTCTCTTGCCATTCAGCTCACTGTATCAAGCCATTAAATGACTATCAAACAACAGCAAACGAAGAAGCCAAATAAGTACTATCTGGTTTATTTATTCTAGATATGACAATGCATAAGTTGGAAATAGTGAGACATAATTCACATATGCATCCAAAAAGTTGAAGCCTATTTGTTAAGACAGGAGTGAAGTGGAGGTGTTTCAGATAAACTGCGACCATAACATTGATTTAAATAACCTGTGGGTTTACAGAACATCTGTACAATCAAACGAGTCAAATATTCAAATCAGCAAAACACATGTAACTGTACATGTCAATATTTTCCAGCTTTGTAATAATTACATACATTTACAAGTCATTTCTTTGACTTCAGCATCTCACACTTTGACAATCAAAGTACAATATCATAGAAGCAATAATCACAGGATTCAAAAGAAACAGAAATTCAAGTGTCACTTGGAGATGGTGCCCTGGCGATCTGATTTTTAAAATAATTTTTTACAAATTATATATATATAAAAAAAAAAAAAAGGGCAAAGTTGTTCTTTAAATGGTTCTAAACAGAACTACAGATGAGTTTGCAATAAGTACTACTCATGCTAAATGTGTTGCTTGTTCAGTGTAAAGGCACACTTCAAATAACAACAAGGGCAAGGTTTTTTTTTTTTTAAAGGCAAACTTAGGAAGAATACTTTTTTTAAATGCAAACAATATCCAAATCATACAAATTTTCGAAGGCGTTTACACCATGAGACTAAAGCATAAAGACGTAAAAAGAAAAGATGACTAAGCGTTATTATTTTAGCTTCAGTAGTGTCAGTGTTTCTGTCAGCACATTACCCCAAATGCAAGTCATAAATGTCTTTTTAAATAGCCAACCGGGAGTGCATGCTGTTGGAGTGAAGAGTGAAACAATCGTCTTCAGACTGCGTTCACTCTTGTCATCATCGCAGGAATTTTCAAAAAACGCATTCTCTCGTGCCAAAAATACCGAAGCACCTCTTGCAGCATGTTATCGGAAATAAATACATGAAATGTGAATTCAAACATGCTTTCAACTCTGCATCGACAGAGAGACGTTTTTGTCATTCTTTCCTTCAAACTAACTGAGTGAAGGGGGAAATACTATGGAGTATGGATCTCAGTGAGTTTGCGGAGACCCTGCCACCACCCCCCGTACTTGGATGCAAATGAAATGACACGACTCGAGGGGGAAACAACAGAGGGATTCATTTTCACCAGTCTCACCAAATTAGAGCAACGATTAGCCTGGGAAAGAAAGAAATGATGCTTCTTTTTTTATATATATATTTCTGTTCAAGCAGGGCTTTTTGATCTTTCTCTGCTTTTTTTCTTCATGCTCAGGGAACAAATTCTACCCAGAAGCCCTCTCACAGGGGAGTGAGTATACAGTTTATTTGTCCTGGAGGGCGGAAAGCTCTTTAGATGCCAGAAGTAGTGTTCTAACTAGGCTGCAATGCTCACTATTGATCAGCTGTAGGTATAATGTCAGTCAACGCACATGAGCTTATTTACACTGAGTGTTGTGCGCCTACATCTGCAGCATAACTCAAGTTTTACATTTGCAGCTAATTTATTCTATTATACTTTGGTTCGTTCCTATAGGACAGGGATGTTAACCCTAATTTGTACTTTCCTTAAACCTCATATTTGACTTGTTTTGCATTCCTAGCTGTTATATCTATGAAAGCTTCACAAACTAAAGCTCCGGTGGTGCTGCTTGTAGAACTGCTGCTGGCGCTCTTTGGCCGCTGATTCCATCAGCTTGTCTCTTCTATCCATCACCGCACCTCTCTCTTTCTCCCCCTCATCCCCGGTTACGCTCCCTACATCGCTGAGATTCCCAAGGTGCTCGATGGAGTCATATTTCTCCAAGTCGGAAGCAATGGTCTGTAGGCTGAAAACCGACAGGGAATCCGACCCCGCCCGCTCCCTCTCCTTTTCATTCTCTTTCTCCTTGTATTTCTCCACCAGGTTTGAAGCTGCATCCACTCGATCTGTCCCTGTTGCACCACCACTGCACGCTGCAACCTCCTGCTTGACTCTGGTGTCAGACTCAGCTCCGACAGGAGGACTTCGCCCGCTGCACGCAGTGGGGCGGCATCTCTCCGCCTGGTCCGTCCCTCTCTGTGCGTGGATCTGCTCGCTGATTTGTTCCAAGTTTCTCAGGGCGATGGAGTAGCGGGTCTTTACTTTGGCGACGTGCTGTTCCAGCTGCAGCACCTTGGTCTTGTTTTCCTGGAGACACAGAGAGACACACCCTCATTAGTTTCAACATTGATTTTATGCCATAACCTACCAGTAAATATTAAAGACAGAATAGAATTACTGCATTTTCACCAGCTCAGCAACATCTTTGCCAAGCTAAAAAAAGCTGGTCTTTTTATGTGTTTATTATAAAGTGGAATAAAACACAGTACACTTGACAAACATTTTTATATGAATCATTAATTGAGTCTGGATGCCTGTGTTACCTCCAGTATGTGGTTGAACTGGGCCTTGAGCTCAAAGTAAGGTTTGGATTTCACAATGACTCTTTTCAGGGACTTTTGCAGCATCTGAACACGAGCTTCAGCTTCCTGACAGGCGTGTGTGACGCGCATGTGTTCCCTCTCACTGCGTAGTCGCTCCTCCTCAGCTTCGTTCACCTGTGAAAAACAAGCAGGAGGACTGTGTTAACAAAAAGCATGCGCACACATACACACACACAGAGCCAAAGCTGGTGTGCTCAAGGACTGCAGCCCTTTCTGTTAATTACTCCACTGCTATTAGTCAAAACCAAACAAATAAGAGGAGCACACTGAGTAGCTCCATATCACCTCTCCCTCAGACTGTTGAAGTTAAAGTGACATTTTACACATCACTAAGTCTATTTACAGGTCCTGGGGAGTATTACTGCAAAAATAGGGTCGGTGTTGCTCAAGGCTACACTCGCCAGTATGAGAAAAACAAAACCCAAATCTCTGACTGAACAGGCAACAGTCAAGTTGTGATGTGGGAAACGTAGGCAGCAGTTTTTAAAAAGGAAGGATCAGAACCAAAAATACTGAACTGTTCCCAATCAAGTAACGAAATATAAGCATAGCAAATAATTAATAAAGCAGAAAACAGGAAACACAAACAACAGCAGCATAATTCACATGGACAAATAACAATTGAGTGGGGGGGGGGGGGAAATCATCTGATTCTGCTGTTGATTAGGATCGTTTTCTAATGGTCAACTGTGAATCTGTCAGCGTGATGACAGTGCAATGCAAAACATGTTTGGTTTTTTATTGTTTGTTTACAGTATGTTATAAACAACAAAAAACAAGCAAGTAATGCTCTACACTAATTGTGCTTTATTAATTCTTATTTCTGCATTCACAACATTTTGCATTCTTTTTTTTTTCTTTAGTTTTAACTGGCTAAAAAACAAGCGTCATCCCTTTTAAGGAACCAGGACCATGTTCCAGTACAGTACCTGACCTACTTAACCCAGACCTGGAGACATTGAACAGCATGTGTAGCTCTTTCTCTCTTTCTTACCTTGGAGGTTGCATGGTTGAGCATCTCCTGCCAGGTTGGGTCAAGGGTGTTCTTGCCATCAGCCATGAGGCCCTGCTCTGCCACGTAGACCATCTCCCTGGCAGCCGTGTGCATAGAAACCGCTCTCTCATAGCTCAAAGCCGCCTTCTGGGTCTCCTGCTGAGCCTAAGAGCACAGACAGATTATTACAGCATGCAGGAGTGGAATATCACAAAGACACCAACCCCAACCCCTTCCTGACTCTGCCAAATATTATTTTGTTCCACATGTTTGTATATCAATTATATTGACCTGATGGGCGTTAAGAGAGAAAAAACAATTGAAGACCCTTTTATTGTAATAAGAATATTCAATAGTTTAAAATGTGCAATCATGCAAATATCAAACAATTAGTGCTTCTAAAGGGAAATTTCTTTAGCTCATATTCCAGACATTGTGTTATTTTCAGTTATGACGGATTGGAGACAAAACCTTTAACTGAATCAATCTCATACACAAATGAATGGCCAGGTCCAATCAAACGTTTTGTCTCATTTGAACATCTTCATTCTTGCCTACATAGTTTTCCAGCGGTAAAGACAAGTTGAGTTATTGAAGGTATTTACGGCAGCATAGGGGGGCTCTTATTAGAGAGTGTAGAATCACTAAATGTACCTGCAGTGCTCTATTTATAAATATCAATACACCTGAAAATGTTTGCATGTAGATCAGCCTCATATTCTGCCCTCTACACACAAATTTAACTTTTAAAAAGGTCAATGCGAAGCATGAGCCAGGAGATCAAAATAAACTTTCTGACCGAACTCAAGGTGAATGAAGTGATAGTTAGATGATGATGAACACATCAGAGAGTGAGGCAACACATTGGAAAACATCCACCTTTCATCATAACACACGAGTGTCCCTGCAGTGCTTATACATTAACAGGCTACCACTCTTCTTTAAAACAGAGGTTTTTAATTTCAGGTTTATTTATAGCAAACTCAGTCTGAGGATATGTAATGATCGTGTGAGAGCTGTCCAGGCTTAATTTCCTCACTTGGCTAATTTTCACAAAAAGTGTGTACAGGTGATGACAATGTGCTGAGTGACGAGAAGGCAGAGTGAAGCAGCCAGGGAGGTGTCACTGTGGGTCTTAGCCTAAAGGAGTAACCTTTATTAAAACTCAAACCCCACTTGGTGACATATGCACAGTATTAGAGGATATCAGTGAAAAACTACTGCTGCTTAGGTCCACAAGTTTTTTTTTACTTTAGATTTCTACATCTATTAAGTTAGTAGACAGTCCGGTCATCTGCGCTCCAGCTAGTATGAATGAAGGTTAGGAAATGCATATATTGCAGACATTTTGAAAAGCAATGTTTATTATTTCTGTTCATACTGAAATGTTCTTATGGAAAACTGTTGGTTTTATTAATCATGATGATGTGACAATAAAGTTTGATATTTTGTTGAATAAAATGTGTGCGTGGCGTCATTATGTAACCTGGCTTCAATTCACCACTTCCCCCTCCCTCCAACATGTTTATGCACGAGTCCGAGTTTGGGTCATGTGCGCACAATTTACACCTAGGTGTGTTTTTATTCATCACAAAGTTTCAGGCCGTTTTGTGTGTATGCGACATTTATAAATGAGACCCCTTAGGCTTTTGTGGATAGGCCATTGGTTCCGACGATTGATGAGATGGTTGGTTATTCCTACAGGCAATTTAAAATTACTTCCTATCAAAACTAAGATTTAAAAAAAAGTCTATTTGAACCCCGCTGTGAATTCAGTCCTTTTTAAGGTGGAGTAGCAAGTCTTGTCCATCCACTGAGCCCTGGTGACCAACACAAGTAAGTTGATTTAAACTATGTTTAGACCAGATTACTGCCTCGTTTTCATGGATCAGCCACATCTTATCCACTAATCTGCTCCCCCAAAAGTTAGCTCTACATTCCACAAGGTAGTTAATGAAAAGACATTATGTGGATTATGATTTCAAAAATAAGATCTTGATCTCAATGGATCCTGTTTAAATAAAGTTAAATTAAAAAAATCTGCATCTATCTATCTCTGATAAAGACATTTTTTTTTAAAAAAAGGTCTTGATGCTACAGGACCAGCTTTTGACAAAGCGACATTTTAACCACAAAAGACAAATGTAAACTTTTAAAAACACATAGTGTATAAATACCTCTTTTGCAAGACGACGAGCTTCATAATAAGGTCTTGCTTTCTCAATGCACCCACCGAGCTGAGAGCTCTGAGCATTTAGCTTCCTGGCAGACTCTGTGAGAATCTTCCGGTACCCTGATCTGGCATCCTGAAAGGTTAATGCATGAAAATGAGGAGATTAGATTTAACTGTATTAGAATGACTGCACTATTACATTTCACATTATGGCTGCAACCGAACACCAAATTATTAGCACAATTACATTTTCTATCGTAAGAGTAGAGTCGTTCCATATCTTTTGCTTAGAAATAGAGAAAACAAAACAACAACATTGATTAGTCCCTTCTGGGTAGACTACTAAAATATTCAACAACAGAAACAGACTCTAAATCATTTCCCAGGGTGGTAGTACATAATCTTTCCACATTTCTCAAGATCTTAGCATTGTTCAAATCAAAGCCTTTTTTTTTTTCTTTCTGTTTTCCATATTACTCAGTTTGATATGAATGATCAAATGTCCCTATTTGTGTAACGTGTGTTTAATATCACTTACATCCAACTGCAGCTCTAGTCTGTTGATTTCTGCACTGGCTTCATTGAGATGCTCCAACTCTTCCTGTGAAAACAGATAAATAATGTATTGTTTTAGACCATTAATAAGTACTACAAAAAATAAATCTAACACATAGTCTTCATAGCAATATTTCCAGTTAAACATGTTGTCATTAATTTTGAAATATTAAAACACAAAACACTACCCACATGACCTGCTTCATTATTATCATTGTATTATTATTATTATTTAGCATCAATATATATATACTGTACATTCTATATATTTGTATTATATTATTATACTAGTCCATATTATATAACATTTCATTATATTACACTATACTGTTCATATTGCACTATATTATATTATATAACTGCACTCTGCATTACTGTGGTACAACACTGCCTCTCTTCTCTGCTGTTTTACATTACTTGCTGCTATTTATCATACCAAGTCACTTTAATCACTTGTCACTTTATCTTGTCATTCTCTGTAAATACTGTCTCAATTCCCCCCAGTTAACTTCATTCATTTTGTACTGTATATACCCCCTGTTTTTATTTTTATTTATCTTATCTATTCGGTTTAATGTGTATTTTTGAGCCTTCTTGTCTGTGCTGCTGTAACGCCCGATTTCCCCTCTGGGGATCAATAAAGTATTATCCTATCCTATTACATTTAAGGCTGCACTTTTTAATGATGAGAATCTATTACTGTAAGTTAATAATAATAAATTGTGACTTGAACTCTGTGACCTTCACGTTTATTATGCTATTGTGCAATGGTTATTGTGTGATAAAATAAGCTCTGTGTTCTTTAGAGAGGATTAACATTCATTAAAAACAAATGAATGACACAACACACTCACAGTGAGGCGTTTCCCAAAGCAATCCAGTGTGTCCCACCCCGGTTCCGTTATAATAATAATAATAATAATAATAATACCAGCCTGGTTTATTAAACTGAAATCCGAGCTTTATGGAGTTAAATGATCACAAATGCGTCAAACATCAGGGTCTGGATACCTGGATTCTGGGGTCCAGCTCCTCCTCGTAGGGACTGTGTAATTGTTCTCCCACGCATTTGTTTTCCTCGCAGGTGTCTCTGTCCACCGTTTCCAAAGGGTTTCCATTAGTTTCGACAGCTTTAACCTCTTCCTCCTGCTCCTGCTCCTCCTCCGCCGCCTCCCTTCCGGGAATAACCTCCCTCCAATCCCCAGCATCTGACTCCCCGGACCCGGCGGGGCTCTCTCGCAAGTCCCCTGGCTCCATTCCAGGCCTGACAGTTTTTTTTTATTACAAGCAGCACCGTTAGCTCAGGTGTAGCAGGTTTTTTTTTTTTACCCAGCAGCAATGTAATGTTACTCAGCAGTGTTAACTAAGAAAACAAATCCCGGTGTTGGGAGTGGTGTAGAGTTTGCAACGTGCCATATCAACCGGCACCGGAACACGAACTACTGCAGCTAGCCTCGCTGTAGCTTAGCGTAGCCTAGCAACCTACCAGGCTAACGTCGCAAGTGAGAATTTATCGGTTCCTTGGCAACAAGAAAGTGAGAACAAATAGTCAGCGTGAGATTAAAAGTAAAAAGGGGGGACATTACACTGACCCCCATCACACGTGTTCTCTCCTCCATCCCTTACCGGTTCTCCATTACTTTAGCTAGGCTAGCTAGCTAGCGTTTTCTGTCTCACATCATCGTTACAAGTGAAGTAAACAGAGCGTTGTGTAGAACACGTTCCAGCGTTTGGACCCGGGCGGCTTCCGTAGCTCATCGTTTGCGGAATCAGTCTGTGGTAAATACTAAGAAAGAAACGAGTTTATTTCTGCACTTACACTGTAACACAACTTCTTCTCTGCCTCTGCCAGTGTCGCCCCCCTCCCTGATCCAGTTCAATCTCCTTTAGGTAAAGTATGTTTTGTTTTTCTGCCTATAAAGGTAGAAATTCTACAATCAGAGCACTGTTTCAAGAAAGCGAAGTAACTCCTCCCACAGCAACTCTTGGAGTAATTTTATTAGTAATAATAATGACTGGAAAAAAAAATTAATTTATTCTAACAAATAAAGTGAACGACGTTTCTTTCAAATTGATTTAAGATTCTACCCTGATAAAGAAAGGGCATTTAAGACAACATGTAAATTGTTCTTTGTTTTAAAAGCATCCTTATTCAAACTCTTGTCTCAGGATTTATGTTGTTCTTGTACATTTTCATACAAGTTGTGGAAAGATTCTTTCATAGTTTAAAAAAAAAACATCTGTCCTTACTTTGCCCTTCACTACAAGAACATTATCTTTGGCTGTTTCCATTATAGCTGTAATTCAATTTGATGATGCTTTTTCACTCCACAAACACAAATGTAAATTCACAAACCCCGAAATCCCCAATGCTTTGTGTTGATGAAGGAAATGGAATTACATGTTTATTGATATTTATATTAATCTTCTTTATGTCTTGTGTTTTTTATGTAAGATCTGCATTTGTTACATTGAATTGCTGTTTGTGTCTAATAATGTGTATTTACAAATAAATGTAAATAAAGTAAACAAAAAAACACTATAACATAAGGTATTGAATGTATAACTACTCCCATACGTAAATAAAGGTGTTTATATTCACACACAAACACATTATCCCTCTGTTACAAACATTTACTACACTTGCAAAAGCTATGAACTGTCATTTCTCCCAGCTCTATAAAACAGAATAACAGAATTATAAACAATCAAAACTGTTTTTTTACACGTTGTGAATTCCTCTGTTTTGGTTGCATTCATGAAATATGATAGATTTATTTAGAATTATATTTAATCTGCATCTGTTTTTTGGCTGCTTCTTCACATATTGTCTTCATACAGTGTTGGAGCTTTGCTGTAACTCATAATGCTGTATTATGGGTTTGAACTTTGACTGTACAGATTGAGTTTGTAATAACTCCCTGAGTGGATATCAGAATGGGTAATCTAAGTGAATTAGATTACATGAACTGATAACATGGTTCTATTTTTTCAAAAAGCGACACATTGAAAGGATAGCTGTGTAACGTTTTTTTTATTCCAAAAATATACAAACACACAGATTTTGTTTGCAAGGTAACGAACCTGCAAGCAGTACTGCCATTATAGAATCATTACACAAAATCATTTGACATTATAATTTGAGCAGGAAGAACCGATTTCCATAGAAGACAAACACCGAGAATCAAACGACCGATTATACTGCAGTTATGACCAGTCAACACTGCCATAAGCAACCATACCACAGATTATGTTTTCATATTCTTAGAGGACATAAACAGTTCACCAGAAAATGAAAATAATTTAAACAATAGCGGCAAAATAGCTCATTGCATTGAATGCAGTAATGAACAACGTGTGCATAATTTGCATAATATAAAAAATAGATCTCTGATGAATAACAGCAGTTCTTCCTCACAAACTGTTCAGGCAGTATCCTACACTGTTAGAAATGTTTTGGAGTACAAAAAAAACCTGAGTGGCACTGGCAATAGCCCCAACACCAGAAAGAGGGACAATCCATCCTAATGATCATGGACATGAAATCAGAGTACATATCATTCAATCAAAGAACGTTTAAGAACATCAGTCTTTGGTCTGGAATGATTTACCTAACTGATGACTACAAAAAGTCGACTATAAATTGTCCGTCTTCTAGGTTATCAGCTCCAGGTGGTATCATACTGGGTCCATCCAGGAGGAGGGGCCAGGTAGATTCTCCGTCCCCTTGATATGAAACTGACAACCCCTCTGTATCCTGCCCTCGGGACTCCAGACTTCAGGTCATCCATGATTCCCAGGTTTTTGGCCATCACTTTGAAACTGTCTTTAGTTGAGTATTGAAGGCGGTAAGGCCCTTGTCCTTTTAGCTGCCCCTGTTTAACATCTTCATATGTAACCACCGGAGCACTGTAAACCTCCTTCTTAAAGTTTTCTCTGTAAATCTCCTCCTTCAAGTAACTCAGGTCTATCTTGGTGAAAGGCACAAATTCGGTATTCAGTTTGATGTAACGCAGGTACTTGTCATAAAACTGACCCAGACTCACGCCTTGCCGGCCAAAGGTCAGGGTTCTCGAGATCTCTGGACGTATGCAGGCACGGTTGCGGCGCTGGTCGGGCTGACGCATCCAGTCGTCCCAGAATGAAGCGGGCCACTTAGGCTCCAGCTCCTCCCACAACTCCTTGCGGATCATCCACCCCAGACCAGGAAAGAAGTCTGTCCTGTAAAGCAGGTTAGCCTTGCCTGGGTCCACGTAGCCATCTCTGCCATTGTCATTCCAGGCTGATACGCACCACAGGCTGGGGTCAGATTGCAGGAGTGGCAGCAGGGCTCGGAAGTACTCAAAGAAGTCTGGCGCCACCTAGAGTGGGAAATGAATAATTCATATGCAAGTGAAACAAGGGAAATGAACTGATAATGCCGGACACCTATGAAATATGGAACTCATTAACATATTCTTATCAATTGATTAACAAAAAAAAAAACACATTTAAATGTTTCCACCAGCTTTTTAATCACATGGAATACTTGTAAAAAAAATAATAACTTTAGCCCGTAAATGTTGTTTATTGATGAAAGGATTACCTCCAGATCATCCTCTACAATCACTACAGAGGAATGGGAGAGGGTCTTGAACACTTGGTTGAGGGCCCAGCGGTAATGCCTGGAGATTTTGTAGTAACCCTGAAACTTCTTGTGCCCTGGTTGCACGGGGATATCTGACAGGTCCGGCTGCTTCAGATGGGTCACTTTATTCCCATAGGATTTAATCACCTCGGCAGTATCGGCATGTCCACAGTCCTGACTGACGATGATTGGGTAGAGTTCTGCTGAAGGACGGTGCTCCAGGAGTTTGTCCAAGCAGCGCCTCACAGTGACCCTGTTACAGGCGATTACCAGGATAGGAATGACAGGCTGACTGGGGAAGACAGCCTTCGGTCTGTCTTTGTTTGATGGATCCCACAGTGACTGGTGATACTGGATATCCACAAGGATTTTTTTCTGCCTTTCAAGCTCAGCTTCAAACGCGTCTGCCATTCGGAGCACGGCTCCCACCGCATCATTGGTAGGCCTTACGACCACTTTCTCCCCGCCTCCGCCAGGCTCCTCCGTCTGGCTGCTTGGGGGTCTGCCCCACAGCAGAAGCACAAGTATGGCATTCCAGGTAACAAACAGGAACGTACCACAAAAAATGACAGAGCCTCTCTTGCGGAGCATGGCCCAGAAACTCAAAGGGAGGGAGGTTGGATAAGGGGGACAGGATCTGAATAGAAAGACTTGTCCTTATTACAGACAATAGGAATGGGATATGGGAAGGGCAGCATGTGTATCATCACAAGTGCATGTTTGGGGATCCGGAGCCACACCTTGCTGACTCTGTGCAGTAACAAAAGTTAGAAGAAGGACACAGGACAGTGTCACTGGAGGAAACGGTTGTTAAATATGATGAGGGACACAACGCATCTTGGAGTTGAAGTTGTGATTCAGGAAGAGCCTCAACTTTCACTACCCCCCTCCACCTGAAATAACGAGAACATAATGTACCATTAGACGAAAAAATAATGCAATAAAGTGACACACAGAGTCATTAAAAAAAACAAAAACAGCGAAAGCAGCAAATCTTCGCAAGCATATTCATACTTCTGCTTCGTGGGAAGCTGCCTTCTGTGAAATGTAGTGATGAATCACCAAACTCTGCCTTATCGATTTCTTTTCTTATCACCTGTGGCTGCCTCGTCAAATGAGATAAACTGTTTCAGAGAGAAACCCCGTATGCACTGAGTGTCGACTTAGCTGAACTCCTTGTTTCTTGACGGACTAGTTTTCCTAACAGCCTGTAAATACTGTAGCTTATTGAGGAGGAGCGTGTTGAAATTAGCCCTTACCTTGACAGTGTGAGTACTTCTCCGTCTTGCAGCCATTTCCCCGCCGATTCCTCTCTGACAACCACGAAAGTGAAACGACAAGAACCGAGAGGCCCGGTCGCTCCGAAGTAAAAACCGGTCTCCTGCTCGTCGCCCACGGGTATAAGTGCAACTTAACGCCGCTTAGTTTCTCTGGTTTTTTCACAAGCCTGAGAAAGGAGGAGGAGGAGGAGGAGGAGGAGGAGGAGAAAAGTAACACGACGACTTCCTGGGCAGCGCGCAGTCAGAGGAAGTCCCGCCCTAGCTGTCACCTTGAGACATTACACAACACTTTGACGTGTGAGCTGCTCCGTGGAGCTTTATTAAGCAGCATTATGATGTCTTTGTGAAGATTTATTATGTATTTGTTGTCTGCTTCCACACACTGTGTGGGTTGCGTCAATGGCGTCATGGAGTCCCTGTATGCTTTTTATATTTTCTTACATTTGTTCTCTTGTCTGTCATGCTGTGTTTTTGCAGATCTTGTGCAATAAACATGTATGTTGTGTTGTTCTGTATTGGTATGTGCCCTTTTTGTTTATGTGTGTGTAACCCAGGTTAATTGAATTGATTTAGCCCTCTATTTTCTTTTTCTTTGAGAGGGGAGTGACCTCAGTGAACCTCCATAAATTATGATTAATCGTTTTTCATTTTATTTTGTGTTTATTTATTTCCACATATTGATTCGAGTGGAAGCAGCTGAAAGTTTGGCAGCAGTTTGAGTCCAAGACAAATTTACCCAAGGGGACAATAACGTTTTTTCCTATCTCCTATTGTAATGTAGGCTACTTTGTTTATGAAATATGGTTATGAAAGACATGTAGGCTAAATAAAAGAATTAAATAGAACCTGAGTACGGTAACAAGATGTTTTTCTGCCCGAGCTGCAGAGAGGTGTGAGTAATTTGCATTGGTCTCCGGGGGAAGATAGGCAAATTTGTTTTGGTTCAGTGGCTACATATTCTGTTCCCTTTTCTACAAAGAGACACACATAATGAGGGAGCACTGAGTGATGCTTTATCTCTGCTGTTTCAGCACAAAAGTACGATAACTCAAGTCCTCACTGTGCATAATATGCATAGACATTTTCAAAATAATACTATGTTTAATTTCTAGCTAGTCTGTCGTTAAATAAATCTATGAAAACAAGCCAACCAATACTTAAAACTCAAGAAATTAGATATTACACTGAGTGGCAATTGTGGAGTCTGTGAGGGCCTTAGGCAAAAATTCACAGGGGGCCCATAGGCAGCGTTGATCACTGTTATGTTATTAATTAACAGACACCAACAGAGAAAGAGAGTGAAATGTGAACTTTTTTATTCCAAGTTTTACATTAGCATTCTTTTCAAAATATAAAGAGAAAGAACAATAAAGTGACAAAGAGATAACAACCTAAAGTGATGCTAATGGGAGTAATTTTTTTGACTGAGCCTCTCATTTTAACTGCTAGACTAGCAACTTTCAGTCAGTCATTCCTGAGAACCTATTAGGGTGGTTTCCAACTGTCTCTGCAAGCTTTGCATATTTTGAAATGTTGTCATCCCGTGTGTGTGTGTGTGTGTGTGTGTGCGTGTGCGTGTGTGTGAGTAGTATCAATGGGCAGCCCAAACACTTTGGATTGAATGTGATTTGAAGATGCTTTGAGTGGTGAGAAAACAAGAAAACCCAACCCATTCACACTTTCTCTAATGTAGCACATACCACAGTGATTAATACGGCTATGGCTCAGTTGGTAGAGTCTCATCCTGAAGGTTGGGGGTTCGATCCCCAGCTCCAGCAGCCACATGTCCAATGTGTCCTTGGGCAAGACACTTAACCCCAAGTTGCTCCTGCTGCTTCGTCGGTGGCGTATGAATATGTGTGAATGGGATTAGTTACTTCTGATGGTCACTTTACACAGCAGCCTCTGCCATCAAGTAAGTACGTAAACTTATCAGAAAAATGTTAAAAGTTTAACTAACAAAAGTGAGAGATGCAGAACATTCTTCTGAGTGTTATTTTACACATATATAAATGTGCATTACTGTGCTGCAGTTTATGTTTGTAGCTGGTTTAAGAAGGAGCTTCTGTTACTGTGGAATATTTTTAACTATATTTGTCTCAATGTTTACAGCTTATACGAAAGCTTATTCTTTAAAGTTACTAAAACTGTAAAATAGACGAGAGCTTTCAGAGCAAGAGTAGAACATTCAGACTCTAATGTATCAGAGCAGAAGTACAAAGTAGCATTATAAGTTTTACTTGAGATTTATTATGTTGATTTTGATGATAAAACTTAAATTTTTCAAGTCGTCACATCACTGCCTTTTAATGTAAATGATCTCAATATGTCTTCCTCAATAATTTAAGTGATAATGACGTCCTATTTATAAGGCAAATCATAAAAACCTTTGAAAGTACAAAAGTAAGCAACTTTTATGTGAGTGACCATACTGGCACTCAGATCTGAGAGGTTCCATATTCTTTAGTATATTTGACATAATAACAAAGAAAACATTGTTCAAAGTTCACCAAACATTTTGAGATCTGTACTCATTCTTATTTTGAACATTCCTTGTTGATATTAACTTCTTTGCTGTCCCATAATGTTCGGCAAAATAAGCTTTTTGTAGGACATGCAAGATGAGCCCAGGAATGAAAAGTACTGTGATTATTTTAAGTATCCACCAGGAGGCCTAATATACATCGTGTCAAATATAGGACTACAAACAATGCAGGTGTTTTATTCTTATTTTGCATAGGTATTTATTGTCACAGTCTTGCTCACTTTTCCTCCTCACTAAAGGAAAAAAGTGCATAAATCTTCCACTTTGGTTTTTCTTTTACTGCAGGGGTTGAAGTCCAAATGTTGCTTGTGTTCTGTAAAAGTCAATAAATAAGGTAAGAACACAGTGCGTGTGTTTTTTTTTTTTTTTGTGCTGAGGCCTTGGACTCTCAGTTAGGTCTGTCCTCTGTGTCCGTCTGTCCAGAGCCTCTGTTGTTCTGAGTGGGTGTTTTTCCATTTACCTGAAAGAGGAGTTATACAATTATTGCATATAGTATTTTATACATTGACACAAATGTTGTGCTCTTGTTGTAAAAGGTCTTTTATGACGCTCACCTGCAGAGTATTGTTTCTGCTGTTTTTCCCCTCCTGTTGGCTCTGGGGGTGCTGAGGAGCATCACCAGGGCTGCTGCTTGACCCACAAACCAGCTTCAAAAACATAAACTGCGACACAAGAGCAGTCAAAGACAAGCACGTGCTCTTCAGTGTGGACCAGCCAGATAACACGTAAGATGGTATTTGAACCGTCTTTTCCATCAAACACGGAGATGCCATGGACACTTTAAAAACTCCAGCTGGGAATTCACTGGTTTCTTGAACAAAAACTATTTTACAAATATGTGCAGCATTGCTTTCATATTTTATCATTCGAATACTTTTAGAGCATTTATCTAACCCAGGCAGGTTAGGTGTCGGTAAGCGTGCCAGCTGACGCACGAGCGCGTTTTGGACACCAGGCACAGTTGAGCGCGCGTGCTCTGAAGATTGCGAAAGTTTTGGATGATATAATTTATTCATGTCCCTTGATTTTTTTCCTTTCTGCACTTTAGCATTAACCAGAGGAGACTCAAACGCGACAGTCAGTCTTCTTCCCTCATCAACACGCTCTCCTTGGACAAAAGATTCCCACGATAGCGCCTGGTTTGTGCGGCTGCGCTCAGCTGGAAAGTCGCGCACCACGCCGCCGGCCAGTCCGAGGCTGTACGCCGAGGTAGGAGGCCGCTTGGTCGGCGGATTCCTGGCCCAGATATTCCCGCGACACCGGAGAACAGCAGACAAGGCCGAGGCAGAGGGGGTGGAAGCCATAATGGCACAAAATATTCACAACAGATCTGCGTCCCTTTTTCTTTTTTTTCCACCCGTTCAGGGTTTCAGATGCTCCTCTTCTGTCCAAAGCAGTCACATAATGCATCAAGGTTAATGTGCGTAAGAAGTGGATTAGAGGAGGGGGCTCTCTCTCTCCTCTGCTCAATCCACCTGACCATATTTGCCTCGATAGTCCATGAAGGGGGCTCGTGAGGGTGTGTCTTTAGGCAATGAGAGGAAAAGTTAGAATCCTTTATTTAAGTTAAGAAGTTAATCCTGCAAATAGTGTTTAAGTATCAAACATAAGGTTCATTTTAACAAAATAACCCATTTGGAGTGTTATGGTGCATGTATACATCCACTGTATTAGTTAGTGCAACATTATTGATGCTTGCATCATATTTTACAAGCTCAACTTAGTCCATTTACTTCAGTACTGTAAGAACTTTTCTACTTCACGAGATTTCACAGTGAAATGTTTCATGCACTTCTGTCCCCAAAAGCACAGAAACATACAAATACAACTGCTTGTTCGTCTTATATTCAATCTCTCATCTCCCAACCCTTTGGTGAGAAACACTGACCTCTCTAACTTCACCTCAAGTCCATGAAACTTGCAGCACCTGGTCCAGTTGTAGCACTAAAGTGCTTCTTCACTGCTGCATCCCTATCAACACTCTCATAATATGGACTCAGTTGTTTCTGCAAAATTAGTAAGTTTTACAAGCTTAGTAGGATGCTCTTTACTTTCACAGATTCAGGACTGTGAATTGATAAAGAGCACTTTCACATTAAGGTATTAAGGATCTAAAATAATTCTAAGCTTACAATAAACTTTTTGGGGAATATTTATCTCCTGAATCAAAGTACAATATCTCCCTCTGAACTGCAGGAAGAAAAACAAGAGCTGCATAAAATAAAGATATTCAAAATTTGATCTTGAGTAAATTAACTTTCACTTCTCTCCCTTGCTGTCTTTGGGGTCAGTGTAAAAGTCTACATTTGTCAGAGTTAAATAAGAGTGATTGCATAATATAAGCACCTACTTTTACATGGAAATGCAACATTGATCAGGTTACATTTAACCTCATAGTCAGAAATGTAACATATACACCAAAAGACTTCTTATGTCATTCAGTTTGGAAGAATCAGATATCTGGTCTCATTGTCAGAACTCAGAGATGAACTCTTATCTGAGTGGGCGGGGCCGGAGGGCGGGGGTTAAACACTATAAAGGTAAAGTCACTCGAGCTGTCAAACAGGTTTGTCTGCATAAAGAGCTGAGAGGCAAACTAAAGTCGACATTCCGGTAAACACAAGCCTCCCTGTTAACTTGTCTGTTTACACCACTAGAGGGTATCAGGTGTCTGAAGGAGACATGCAGGTTTCTGAAAGGTCTCAAAGCAGACTCAGCAGAGGACACACGTGTCAGCTAAATGAACAGGAAGTCCCCGATGTACTGTAAACAGATAGGGAAGACTGAGCCGTTGAAAAATAAGTGGGGCATTGTTGCTCATCATTTAAAGCTCCTTTTGAAGAGTTGTTAGCTGGTTATGAAACTGAAATGAATATTAATGCCTCTGTATGAGCTACAAAAGCAAACCAGGCCATCAGCATGAAGATTGATTATTTCTTAAAGATTCATTTTTAAAGCCTGAAAACGCTGCAGCAAGGGTATAGGTGTAAGACGATGTGATCAACACAACACTGCCACGTTTACGTTTTCCACAGCAAAGATTCTCTGTAATTGATATATTGTCCTGACAAAGCAAAGCGAGATGGGATTGTTTTGTTGTTGAAAAAAAAAAAACGACTTACACACGTTCAGGACAAGATAAACAAAGAGATAAGACGTACTGCTCATTGACCACAGGGGGACACTCGAATGAAACACGCCGTAAAAGTTCCTCACAGGAGCTTTAAAAATTCCTGACTAGATTGTAGAAAAAGTATTGGCATCATGTGTTTTACAAACAGAGCTGGATATCAAAAAGTACTTTAATCAATAAAAGGGAAAACATTCATATGAGGACAAAGAGAAACTATGTACATATATATATATATATATATAAATCATCTCTGGCTATGTACAACGTGTTGGTCTTATATACTGTGGATGAACTAGAAACCCTGAACTTGTTTTGGTAATCAGCCTAAATACTTAAGTATACAGAGTTTAGTGCATTTAAAAGTGTACAGCTTATCAATCAGTTTTGTCTTTTACAGATCCTACTTTCACAGTAATCACAGACTTGTTTTAAAAATAATAATAACAACCGCCCTGTTTCCTTCATGTGCAGCTTTAGGCCTGTGTGTCCTTTGTTTTAAAAAAATGTTGTTGTCCTTGTTTCCCTTCATTTCTTCACAGTGAACCTGCTTGAATGTGTCCGAGTGCTTTATTACTTCACCATAACTCACCGAGGATCACTGAGCGTCACAGTAACTTCCGTGTTTAATATTCCTTTAACTTAAGTCTCATCTCTGCAGTCCACCCATTTGTGTTGTGTTCAGGGACGTCCCACTGGACCACTTCCTGTTTGGTTCCCTGCTGGGCCCTGGGGCCTCTGGCGGACAACATTGGGTATGATCACGAAGGCCAGAATCCCCAGCAGCATGAGCACCACAGTGACGGTGATGATGGACGCCACCACGGCATAGTAGCACTGATCTGAGCGGAACAACCTGCGCAGGCGACCTCTGACTCTGTTTGGAGGCCTGCCTACGTCCACCACTGTGGCCTGGGTTATTCCCTGCTCTATTGTGTCCAGGTGTAGGTCCCCGCCTGCTGTCATGTGAGTGTGCGGATTTTTTTGGGCAGGCTGAGGATGCCAGGCCTGGTGGGGCTGCTGGGAGGAGGGTTCTTCAGGAGGAGTTTGCCCTTGCTGCGCTTGAATCTGATGGATAACGCCCTCTGCATGTCTGGTGGCAGTTTGCCGATAATGTCCTGGTTGTTGCCCAGCCGGGGGAGGTCCTGGCCGTGGGGGAGATCGGTCAGCTCTCGACAAACGGGGCAGGTGAGGGTCTTGAGCTCGGGCGATGTGACATTGATGCGAGCCAGGCACTCCAAGCAGAAGGTGTGCCCGCATGCAAGCAGCTTTGGGGTCTTGAAGACGTTATCATATGTGCAGAAACACACGGCACACTCTGTCTCCTCCACATCGTCCTCAGGGGGCCTCACCTTCCTCCGGTCACTCTCTCCCTCTCTCCTGTCTCTCCTCCGGGCCTCCTCACTCCTGCCCCTCTGCCTCCTCTCTCCGTGGTGACGGTCTCGTTCTCTCCTCCGGCCTCTCTCCGCCCTCTCTGAGTCATTGCTCCTGGATCGCCTCACTTTGGCCGGCTTCTCGTTCTTCCAGTGGTCCTCCTTTTTGTTCTGGCTCGGTTTGGGTTTGACGTTTTGGGCCTGTCTATGTCTGTGGCTGTGGCTCCTTTCGGGCCTTTGTCTGTCTCTGTCATCGCTCATGTTGGAGGGATGATGATAGATCTCACGGATTCCAAACAGGAGCTGAGGAAAGTAAGACATTGGATAAGTTTGAGTCCCTGCCTGTTAATGTAAATGTATTACCACACAGCTCTTTTTCAATAACACAGTTATTGAACATGTACTAAGATTCATAGTGTTGAAAAAACAGATTTTAAAACAAGCTGTTTTACTGCTGTAAATCATTGCATGCTGCAGACCCTTACTGCCGTTACTATCTCTCAGAAACTAGCAGAGAAGGAAACAGTCTGTAGGACTTGCAAAGCCTTCATAGGAGTTTCTGGATGATGAAACAACCATTGCTATCTTACATCTCTGTTGTTTTAAAGCTACTGTGAGAAAATCTTTCTTGTGTTGAATTTGGCGACCCCTGTGGACAAAGTGTTACTTCTTACCCTTTGCTGATATTATTCTATACATGTGCAGGAAGTGCTTTCTGATAAAAGATCTCATCCTGCTTTCATGTCACGTGTATCACTCATTGGGAATCTTTAAAAAAATACATTTAAAAAAAGGCAGCTTCATCAGCGTGCTGTAAATCATATTAGTCATTTTCACTAATGCCCTTTAATTTTCCTGAGTTGGCTGTTCACCTCACAGGAGCAGACAATCTCTGTCAGATGGAAGGAGGGATAAAAAGAACGATGTGGAAGTGGTGAACGGAGCAACATACTTCGACGGTGTGGTGATTTTTTCTTTTGCTTTTATATCAATACTACATGTAGCTTGACTTATTCTCAATATCAACAAAAGAGTGTAGACACTCCTGATACTGATGAACAGAAAACATGATGTAGAAGTTTCATTTTGAGAGATCACACCCATCAGCCATTAGGTAGTGTGCCGGGCACAGGACATAAATGTCATTACTCTACCTTCCACTTCATGCGGTGAATTTCCCTCAACATGTCCTGCTGCGATCTCACCTTAACTTAATGCGGGGAATGTACGAGAGGGCAGGCGGGATAATAACGAGGTAAAGTTGTGTTGTTTGCTTTTACACATGCAGCTCACCCTGAAAATGTCAGGAGGTTTTCAGGAATTTTGTGCATGTGTGAAAGCACCATTTCTGTGACACCTACGCCATAGCAGTGGTTACAAGCACACACAAAAATACAATCCATAACTGTTGTCGCTGGCAGTCTGGTTTGCTTTTCTAGGACATAAAGAGGCATCTCTTCCAGCTTCAGTCTGTTTCATAACCAGTAAAAACATTTCCTCAGAGGGGTTTTAAGATAACATCTGTTGAGAGTTTCCCATTCTTTAACCATGCAAGGGTTCCTGCTGTCTTTATAATGACTCTCTGTATTTATGTAAGAAGCTTCCCTACATGTCTGCAGAACTGGATGTGCTGCAGAAACGTTTGAGTTAGTGGAAATTTATCTGATTCTGCTGTCTGAAAAAATAATTGTGGGGTGACACAGGTGTGTGACAGGGCTTTGTTGTTTTGAAATGTCGTAGCAAAACATTCCTTCATACACTTCCATCTTACAGAGTTAGTCATTTACTTATTTTTAACCCGAGGGACAGCTAGGCACAGCACCATTCACATGAGCCGCTGATTTCAAGTCAAATTTAAGGAAGTGCATTTTCAATTTTGCAACAAGTTTAGATTGAGTTACACTTTTCTGGACCTGAAGGGCTCAGCTGCTTTAAAAGAATAGAAGTTGTGAGATTACAAACTGAAAGCATCAGAGAAAAACTACTGTCTCAAAGAACAGAAAAAAGTAAATCATTGTACAGAATCTGTAGACACACACAGTCACACACAGTCACACACACAGAAACACACAGTCACACACACAGACACACACACAGTCACACACACAGAAACACACACAGTCACACACACAGAAACACTGACCCGTGGAGGTAGATGAATGCCAAATCACGTCGTCAGGGATGATCCTCCTGGTAAAATAATCCTGAGGAGTATCAGCGTAGTAAAAAGTCACACATCACCCAACTTCATTCCTAAAAAAAAGACAACTCAAACTTTCCTGTGGAGGAGTTTTGGTCTGTCTGCAG